GGCGCCCGCCAAGGAGTCCCCGCCCAAGCGGGGCGCCGCGCCCGACTCCAAGGCTGCGGCGGCGGACAGCGCGGAGGAGGCGCCCCGAGCCGTCCCCCGCGAGCTCACGGTCAAGAGCAGCTCGCTGCTGCCGGAGATCAAGCCCGAGCACAAGAGGGGGCCGCTCCCCCCGCACTGGGACGGCCGCGGAGAGCGGAGCAAGGAGCCGGGCAGATCTGCTGGAGGCCCCGACGCGGACGGCTTGAGGCCCAGGAACCACTTCGGCGCCGGCAGGTCGACGGTGACCACTAAAGTGACCCTGTAAGTGACAACGGAATTGGGCCGGGCGGAGGGGCACGTGCGGGGCGGCCCAGCGGAGAGGCTCAGGGTGTTTGTATTTGTGAAAACTATCTGAGCACTGAATTTTCTCCCCTTGGTTGAAATGAAGACAAGGCAAGAGCTAGTTAACATAGTTAAGGTTTAAGAAGATGACGCTTAGAGGAACATCATCAGTTGTTAATTCCAGGTTTAATACAAGATTTAATTTAATGAATGTAAAAATGATACATCTCTCGAGGCTCAGTGTTTACGTAAGGGATAGAGAGAAAACTGTAGGGCTTGACATAAGCTGATTCTGTCCTTTATTCACAATGTACCCTGGCATTCTTGGATAGAGCTCGCTTAAAACGCATATGCAGTGAATTTGAAAACATGGAGCAAAGACTAATATGTTCAGCATGTCCCAGCAGCTTTGACATGTGTGAGTTTAAGACTATTCATGGAACTTTTTATGGAGCTTAGTGCATTCTTTGCCTAAGCCTGAAAAAACAAACTCCAAACTCTTCACACAAGTGTCTTGGTTGCATCTTCCCCTTTATAATGTTAGGGAGGTTGGTGATGTTTTTGCCTTCAAGTTGAAAAGTAGTTTTCAGTTACTGAAGTGAAGGAAGGTCAGTGTTCTGACTGGGAGACTGTTTGCTAAATGAAAAGACATGTTAAAAGAAGCAGGCTCAGCAGCAGACTGACCAATCACTGTTAAGTTGATTGATTTTTCATGTTTATTGAGTCCCATCTGTGCGTAGTACTGTGCTATGAACCATGGGGGGAAAAAGCCACAACTATGATTCAGTATTTTGCCCTTGAAAAGTTTGTGGCCCAGTCTGGAGCACAAGATGCCGACAAGTCAGATAACAATATGAAGTGATGTCTGATTAAACTGCCCGTGGATGTTACCACCTGTAAAGGTTGGGGATGTGCAAAAGGAAGGAGAAAATCACTGGATTTTTTGGAGGACTTGTGCATTGATGATCATGCGAGTGGTGTGGGACCACTGGATGGAGAGGGTACTAGAAAACTCTTACGATCCCACCCCCCCTTCTCACGCTCTCACTCCTCTATCTCCCAGTCAGCATATGTGAAAAATGAGTATCGAAACTGCTTACGTTTTTCCTACATTCACACATGTATGAAAAGAGCTGGTGTTTTCACAACATTGTCACTCTTAAGCTAAATGGTCCATTCTGACTATTTGACTTCTTGGATATGTAAGCTTTAGCGTAGGAGATCTGTCTGGTAGACACTTGAGAGGAAAGTCTGCTTAATGAATAACTTGAGCTACCTCACTGGCTTCTGACCTGGAGACCTTTGATATAGTCAGCTATTTATTCTGTGATGGCAGCACTGGAGAAATAACCTAAGTGAATGATGCCCATTATTTGTAGAGGGCCAGTGCGCCAACATTCAGACCTCCCAGTGTGAACCTCAGAGAAAAGTTGCTGTGTCCCTGGTTAGGACTCTTCAGCTTCCCCCTACCTGCCAATAGGAATACACCAGTGGGAGGACCAGAAACGTTACACTGCTAGGAGCAGGGTAAACAAACCCAGGGAAGCGGATCTTACAATGAAACTCTTTATGCGCTGTTGTCTGGAATAGAACTAAACCAGGTGTCTTCTTCTCAGTACTAATTTCTTTCTACCTAAAATTTTTCCTTTGCCAGACACTGTTTATTTAATTTTGTTTTCCGCAGGGCCTCCCACTTGGTGAATTGGCAAACTATTGAAATGGAAAATTAATAATTCTATCTAGTTCTTTTCTGTTTGACTGACTGATGGGGTTTTTCAAACCCTTTAATTTTCCCGATTGCCTTTCAAGAAAAGATGTTAACTCATTTTTTTTTTTTTTAAAGCAATTTGAATCTGAAGTTTTAAAGTTAAAACTATATTCCCTCAAAAATAATGACGATGAAGCAGCGTGTTTCTTGAAGCTGCGAGAAAAATTGTCTTTGGTTCTCTACCAAGTATTGAATTTTGAGATTCTTAAAAATGGCATATTTGAAATATGGAGAATTTTCCTCTCATATTATAGCCATAGCTTTTTAGGCTCCATTATTTTCTCCTCTCACATTGTAATGAAGGCATTGCGACATGAATTATAGGAGTCTTTTAATCACTTTGAGCTAGGTTAATTGTAGTGACTCTTGGTAGCAGAAGTTAATAGCACAGAAAGTTTGGTTGTAAAATGTATTTTGATCTTGGTGTAAATCTTTTAATGTGCAGATCTGTTTCTTGTCCTTAAGGTAGCTTGTGGGCTAACCTGTAGTGTTTTCCATTTACATCATAAGATACACTTTGATGTTTGACTGTTCTTAGAGGTGATTAGTGAGAATTTTTAAAATGTATATTCCCTGGTATGTGAACATCCCTCATTCACTGGTAGCATTTGTAAGCTTTCTATTTCTAATCATCTCACTTCATTTAGAATTTTATCTTTAAGGAAGTGCTGATAAGTTAATTTGCTTTTGATTTGGGCCCAAAGTGTGGGAGCCTCAAGATCTACTGGAGATTTTGTAGAAAGCAATGTCTGGGAGAAATTAAGGAGAATATATCCAATTTAGTATTTAAATCAAGTTTTAAAATGAAAATTTAAATTCTTAATGCTGCATTTGGAAAGGATTTCTCAAGTCTTCTCATTTTATCCAGAAGGCTAAGGTGTCTCACCCAAAATCATATTGTCCATTCCCCCAAAAGGCCCAACGTTCTTGATGGACAGTGAGTCCATGCGGGAGGCAGCGTGAGATTTCATTGCTTCTCCACTTTGTGTTCTCATGGTGCTACCAGTGAGATAACGAGACCTCGGTTGCTGTCTTCTTGAAGCAAGGATTTCAATCAAGAGACAAAGTGTAGAAAAGCAAGCAATAATTTATTGACCACAGCAAAAATATACTTAGGACAGTGAAACAAGGAAGGGCATAGAGGAAGCAACAGGAGAGTCTAGGCTGGGCTGCTTTGGCTCACTGGGAAGTCAGAGAGAAGGGAGCCTTGGAGACAGGTTCAGGGGATAAGCGCAGGACAAGCTGTTGCTGCCCATTGCTCCCCTGGTTGCAAGTCTCATGGGGTCCTGTAAAGATTAGGGGATACTACGTGCCTGTCAGGGAAGGAGTGGGGGAAGGGAGTGGTACAGGCAAGCTCCCTGGAGGAAGAGCTTGCTGGGACCTTCATTTTTAAGGGTTTTAAAGGCTGGACATTTAGGGGAAATCTTAGGGGCTGATCAGTAGAATATTCATCAGCTTTATGCTGATGTACCAAAATGAGATTTATACTCTTAATTTGTCTGTCCTTGGGTATGGTTGACAAATGGCACTTAATTGTATTTCTGTTACCTGTCTCCCTGAGTAGGGTGATTTGAGCTATTTTCCCTCCGGTTGGGGAGGAAAAGTGCAAACTATTCACTCTTAAGTGTCCTTGGTGTAGGAAAGATAGGATTTACCGGTGGCTGCAAACTGCTATTGAACTATCTGTCTGAGTTTCCCTATTCTGCTTGTCCTAGAATTTTCCTAGCTTCGCACTATGCTATAACTATGGTGGTGGCCTCATCAAGTATGATTACTTTATCTTATAGATATGATAAATCATTGACTCCTTCAGAGGAGGTCTTTGAGGCGAGTCTTGTCCAACCTTTCTGGGGAAGCAGAACAGTAGAGTGGTGGAGAACGTGGCATCTGAAACCAGAACAACTGGCTTCAAATTTTGACCCTGCCACTTAATAGCTGTGTGACCTCAGGCAAATTACTTACCTTCTCTAAGTTTCAGCTTCCTCATCTTAAAAGAAAATGGATAACATTGTACATTAGGCAAGCCATAGAGTGTTTCTCCAGTGCTTGGCAATCAGTGAAATATTGGTGGATATTATCTCTTCCATTTTATAAACCACTAGACCAATGGTTTAGACATTTTTTATTTTGTTTGGTTTTTAGCTTTGGAGTCCATTCTTCTAGGAAAGCTTATATAAAAATGATATCTAAAACAGATAAGTAGGAGTGATTCTAATTGAAAGGAAAGAGGGTGGCTGGCCAACAGCCCCATCCCTCAGTCTCTACTGTCCCCAACTATAGCCCTTGAAGAGAACTCCTTGAAGGATTATTTCAACCATAACTTGGGGGGTGAGAAGGGGGAACCAACTCTGTTCTAAACTAGGGGTTTTTTTGTTTAGAGTTCAGAGAGTTAAAGTAACTTGCCCAAGTTCACACAGATAATTAGTGTAAGAGCCAGGACCAGAGCCAGCTAATGTCAAACAGAGAATGTTTTCTTTCTCAGAAAGAAAAAAGTGTGTACATCAAAGACTTATGGTTTCCATTAGAGGATAATTATACCCAAGAAACGAAGGCAAGAGGGGAGAATCACTTTGCCAAAGAAATGGTGACAAAACTAACAATTGAGTAATTGATAAGTAAATTATGGTACATCCATGTGATGGCTTTTATGCAGACATTAAGAAAACTTTTCAAACAAAATTTTTGGTAACTCAAAACATGTTAAAAATGTTAACTATAAAGTTAAGTAATCTTATTTTTAAAAGCAAGATACCAAACTCTATGAACAGAATAATCTTAATTCTATTAAAACATTTAACTGCATATAAAAATGCTAGACATACGCTAAAATGTTAACTGAGATAATATATTTGAGTGGTAAGATAATGAGTGATTTTTCATTTTATATTTTCCAAATTTTCTGTAGTGAGTCTACTTATTTAATCAGAGTAAAATTTTATGAGGGAAGGATGAAGGGAATAAAATATTCAAAGAGGTAGAAAATAGGTAAATATTTTTTATAACCTGGCTTTCTGACATAATTTTAAAAATATGATAAAATAAAAATTACACAGTTGACGTGTAGAGAAATCATTTATGTATTTAAAATATGGGAGTGTATTAAATATTTATATTTGTTCTAATGTGCTTCAGGCCCTATGACGTCATAACTCTAGTGCCAAGCACTGTGCGTACATTCTAGGTACTTGATAAACTTGTTAACCTCCCACCTCTAGACTTTCTTAGTTATGTAATTTTCTCATCCCTCACACAGAAGCAAAGCATTGATTAAAAATAACTGATAGTGTATTTAAGATTGTTTAAAAATAGTTTCATTTCTTTAAAAAGTTACATACCAGAAAGACATTGGCTTTTATAGTTTTCTAATAAATTGGTATGTTCACTTTTTTAAAACCAGGTCAGTAACTTTATTATATTGCTTTTTTCTTGCAGCCCTGCCAAGCCCAAAAATGTGGAACTAAATCTTAAAACTCCTAAGAATCTTGACAGCTTGGGAAATGAGCATAATCCATTTAGCCAGCCAGTTCATAAAGGAAACACTGCCACCAAAATCTCCTTATTTGAAAACAAACGGGCAAACAGCAACCCAAAACACACTGACATTCGAGGCACAAGGAACACCCTTGCCTCTAATAAAACATTTGTTGGGAGGGCAAAGCTGAATTTAGCCAAAAAACCCAAGGAAATGGAGCAACCTGAGAAGAAAATAATGCCAAATAGTCACCAGAATGGTGTTCTGGTGAAGGAAAGCTCTGCAGAAACCAAAGTTACTCTCTGTGAAGAGGAGATTCTCCCAGTGAGTGGAAGTCCCAGTGTAAGAGGAAGGGAAGGCGAGCCTACCGAGGACCAAGCTCTTGGTTCGCAGCTTAAACAGGGTGATCAGGCAGATGTTCAAGTAGATGCTGACTGCCCTTCTGTACCACTGGCCACTGCTCTGATTCCTGTCAAGGACCACAAACTCTTAGGACAGGACGACTCAAAGGCTGCCGACAGCAAAAGACTTATACTTGAAAATGTGACTGAAGCAGCACAAGACGTTCCTGCCATTCTTGATACCAGAGACTCACCAACAGCCACACCAAAGCCACAGGATAAATTTTCTGACTCACAGGCCCCCGCTGAGTCATCGAATGGGCCTCATTCTCTGCCTGCAGCAGTTCCTGTGGATATGCCCAAAGATGCATGTGCTGATGCTCCCATAAGCAGTTTTCCAGGCACTGACCTAAGAGTATCAGAAAACCACAGTGGATGTCGTTTGCCTGCGTCTCATCTGGATAATGAGAAAATGCCCCCCTCCGAACTTGGGGGGGGAGGAGAAACAAGCCCTCTTTTGACCACAGAGCAGAGCCCAGAAGTTGTGGGAACTGCGAGTCCGTCCAAGGTCCTTGTCCAGGTCAGGTCCTTCGTCCTTCCCTTGGAGAGCACCCAGGACGTAAGCTGCCAGATCATCTCGGATAGCTCTGAAGTTAGAGAAGTGCAGTTGCCAAGTTGTCACAATAATGAACTTGAAGTGGTTTCCGTTGCAAGCTGTGCTCCCCAGGAAGAGGAAGTACAGGGCAATAAGAGCCCATCACCCAAACACATTCATTGCAAAGAGGAACAGGTAGCAAAATCTGGCCCACAAGTCATGCCGCTGGAATCAGAGAAAACTCTGCCTATCCAGGCTCAGAGTCTGGGCGACAGGACACCCCCGATGGTTGAATCCAGCCCCACTCACTCCCCAGGTGGTGAAAATCATTTAGAAACTCCTCAAAGGCCAGATCAAGATGTCACGAATGGCCAGGACAGCCCTGCCAGCCTTTTGAACGTTTCTGCTGGTAGCAGTGATAGCGTACTTGATACTTCTTCTGATATGGAGAAATTCACGGAAATTATCAAAAAGATGGACAGCACAGTTTGTGTGCCTCAGAAGAAAAAGAAGGCCAGGGTGCCAAACTCCCCTGCCCCTCACTTTGCCATGCCTCCTATTCATGAGGACAATTTAGAAAAGGTATTTGATCCCAACGTGTTTACCATTGGTCTGGGGAAGAAAAAGGGAAGCCAGCCCGAAATGTCACCAGCTCTACAGCTGATGCAGAATGTAGATGCAAAATCCACGCTGAGGTCCAAACGAATGTCCACCGAACAGAGCATCCTCTTCAAGTCCTTGCACGCTCACACCAACGGGAAAGATGAACCTCTGGCGACTTCAGAAATGAATGACAAAGAGAGCAGGGATGTCACAAATGGTGGAGTGAAGAGATCTAGGCTAGAAAGAAGTGCACTTTTCTCAAGCATGTTATCCTCTTTACCACAAGACAAAATCTTTTCTCCCTCTGTAACGTCAGTCAATGCTATGACCACAACTTTCAGCTCTTCTCAGAACACTTCTCTTTCTCGGTCCTCTGCGTCACAGCCCGTGGCTGAGGGTGCCCCACCCTGCACGTCAGATAAAGAACAGCCGAGCCTTCCGCCCAACAACTTAAAGGTCTTCAATTTTGACTCGTCAAGTACATCTCATTCAGGCTTGAAAAGTCCAAGCTACATGGAAAAATACCTGCAAAAGGAGGAAACCAAAAAAGATCTGGATTCCCAAAGCAACCTACACTTGCCAGACATTAAATTTTCTGAATTTTCAAAACTGAAGAACAGTGATGATGTGGAAAAGGCTAATCACGTTGATGGTGTGCTTAAACCGAACTTGCTGAACTATGGGAACAGTGACACAGACTTCATGGGCCTTTTCAAATCCAGACGGCTTGACCCAAACCTTCCCTTTTCTGGAATGCCATTATCAGATCCAATAGTAAGTAGCAACATCTGATCATTTATTTGGGGCATTTATAAAGTGAGAGGGGAGAGTGATGAGCAGTTCCTGTTGTTATTTCAGAAATGGGTAGGCTTGTGGACAATCATTTTTTAATTCATTGAGCTTTGGAAACCTATGTACAAGGACTGCTAGGGTCCAAGAAAGAGGTACTAAGATTTTTTCTCAAGGTATTCGGAGTCTAGCAGGGGAAATAAGTTACTGGTATTGTAAGGCACTTGTGAATTTATATTTTCAGTGCTGTAGTTAGGATTTTGAAGATTTGTGAAGCAGCTTCCTTTGTTCGGAAAAGCCCCTGCCAAGGAACCTTATTCCTAATCCCTCCCTTGTGCTGAGAGGTCACTCTTTCTTCCCATAAGTAGCAATAAATGTGTGTGCTATGCATGTGAGAACTTATTTTCTCTTTACTTGGAATTAGTTTTCACCTGGGGAAGTGTTTTTTTCCTACAAAGCCTTTGAAGAGTAAAGAATTTTGGTCTGCATCGGATCTTTCCTTTAATGTAGTAGAGACAGCAGCAAAATATGATTTTGAGCAACAGTGACGATTTCTCCATCTTCTATCTGACTGCTGGCATAGTTTTCTTAATTCAGTTTTTGATGTGAATTTGTGCCTTTCTATTACCAAGCTTGATACTTAAGCTGAAGGAGGACAATGAAAGAGGAAAACAGAATATAAGGTTTAGAGGTCAGCTCTGCTAGCCCAGAAACATGAGTGACCTCTATAGTCCTATTGCCCGTCCTGCGGACCAGGCCATCTGTCACTTGTAGACCATCATCCAAAGCACTTTATCCAAGCAGAAAACACCTTGCACCCTTCCTTATGCGTCTAAGGCACCGTGACATGTTTCACTTTGTTTTATTGGCTTTTGCTACAAGCCTATCTTAGCATGGAGTTCTGGAAGCTCTTTCAAAAAATATAGTTGGGTTTCCAGCATAGGTTCAGATCCCTCTTTTCAAAATTTTCAAAATTTTGGTATCAGGATGCTTTTATATTTAAAAATTATTGAGGACTCCAAAGAGCTTTTGTTCACATAGGTTATACCTGTCAGAATTTATTATATTAGACATTAAAACTAACAGAACACACAAGTGTGCATTTCAGTAGCCATCATGGCAATGATGTCATGGACCCTCTGGGAAATTCCACTGTATAATGTGAGGTAATCAGTGAAAAAGGTAAATACCCTCTTCTTATGAGAATAGTTTTGATCTTATGAACTCCCCACGAGTACCTTGGGAACCCTCTAGGGGTCCCTGGACCACACTTTGGGAACTGCTACTGTATATGAACACTTAATCAGCCCATAGCTCTCAGAAATCATAAAATTTTTAAGTATTTCTCTCAAGCACAACATTTCCACTGGTCCACTTCCCCTTCATTACAGCCTATTCTTTTTGATCATTCTTGGATCACTTCTCTTATTTGACAACATTCTGGTGAGTCTGACAACAGAATATACAGTTTCCCTGTGGAATCCCTTGAAAAACCAAGTCAGATGGGGTAAAAAGGAGAAACAAAGTGCTTTACACCTCCTTTGTTTGTTTTTCTTTAGGTTTTGAGCTTTATTGATTATATAACTATTCTATATTCTATGTCTTACATGAATTTTGTTTTAAATTTTAGGCTTTTTCTTCAGCTTATCTACTTATAATGTGTACATATAAATAATGTCATTTTGACTTCTAATAATGCTCTACTGAGGCCTTTCTCTGGTCTTTTGGGCATATTCTACTCTGGCATGATGCAAGAGTGATCAGATCAAAGGCAGTCCTTAGAATAGCCATCCTGCTCAGCACTGAAAGTAGTCCATGTTTTATAATTTTTTTACATGTATAATTACTATTTTTATTGTGTTACGTATTTCTAGTTTTACTGGTCTTCGTATTTTATCTATCAAAAAGGGAGTAATTAAATACTATGTGCAAGGTTCCTTGTGAAATAATCCATATACATATGTTTTGTTTTATTTCAGAGAGAGAAAGGAGAGGAGAGATAGATATATATAGATAGGTAGATGAGAGAGAGAGAAAGAGAGAGAGAAACATCGATTGGTTGCCTCCTGCACACACCCCTGCCAGGGATCAAACCTGCAACCTGGATATGTGCCCTGACTGGGAATGGAACCCACCACCTTTTGGTATATGGGATGACACTCTAACCAACTGAGCCACACAGGCCAGGGCTTCATAAACACGTTTTTGTTTAGACTACTAGTTGTTATGTGATGGTAGATGCTACTGTGGAAAAACAATATTTATAGATTCAGATAAGATATGTACTGAACACATAAAATTGATTCAACTCATTCTAGATATCTAAAATGATTAATACATCATAATTTCTCTTTATCTGAGATTATACTGAGATATTTTGAATTATAATCTGCTGAATTCTTATTCTGTAAATTCATGTAAAACATAGGTCTGACTCTTGAGTCCTAAATTTTCTAGATTGCTGAAAATAGCCTGGGCATTTAAATGAAGAGAAATTGGAATGGCAAATTCACTTGGGCAGGGGAAGCTCTTAACAGTATAGACTCAAAGAGAGTTTTAATACAACTTTGGCATCAATCAAGGTAGACTTGTTTTAAAATTGCTAAATTGTGAGGTGAATATGGTCTTACTCAAAGGATCATGGGAGGAGAAAAGAGGACTGTTACACAACATTTAATTATTTGTTGTGTTTTTGTTCATCTGATTACAGACGCTTAGAGGAAGTGTCCAAAATAAAATCAACCCTCGACCTGGAAAGGTAAGACTATTTTCTGTTTCTAGTCTAGATTTTATTTTGGCCTGATGAAGTACAGTGAGAAGTGCTACCACTCCCATTTTCTTATAGGTAGTGATCTATAGTGAACCAGATGTCTCCGAGGAGTGTATTGAAGTCTTCAGCGACAATGAGGATTGCAGCTCCTGGACCCTGTCTCCTGTGGTTCTTGTAAAAGTTGTTAGAGGATGGTAAGAATGGCACTTTGACTTCCTGACTTACAGGGTTCACATTTTACATTTTTAATTACCTTTTTGGTCCTCAGTCCTTATTTTAAATTATGCCTTTAGCAATATAAAGGGTAGAAAGTACTGGTCACAACAAGCATTGAAAGGAATTCATAACAAAGAAATATGGTTTTTAATCATGTTTCTGATTACAGGAATGATACATATTTTTGCTAGAAAAATCAGAAAAGGGTAGCAGTGTAAGTTTCTTTCCCATATATCCCCATGTACATATAACATTGGTTTAGACTAATGAACATTGGAGTCCATAATATACATTTGGTTTATGAATTTTCAATGAAGTTGATAAGAATTATACTAGTTATGTTGGTAGAATTTTTCAAATTCCATAAGAAAAGACATTTTGCTAACTTTTAAAATAATAGTTCAGTGAAGGACTAAGTTAAAAGTTATTTTCCAACTTTTTGATAACATAGTAAAGGAACTGGTGAAAAAATTCTTTTACCAGCTTAATTGCTTCAGAGCATACACAGGAAGTTGAATTCAGAAAAGCAGTTTTAAAAAAAATTACTTATGTGGCATGAATACTTATCTTTGGTACCTATCTATAAACTTGTTTGATATAAAGAGATAGGGCTGTAGACATCTGTGGTTTATAAAACTAGTAAGCTTTTCTGTTGATTAAATATGCAGTATCTTTCCTGTAAGGTTTTAGATATTTTAGTATATTTTTCTATTTATTCAACATGTTCATTAGAAAAATACAGTTAGCTTTTGTTCTTACATTTGAAGACTGAAAATAACACTAAAGGTTTTTGTATAGCAACTTCATTTTTTAATAAAATTGACCTTTTTGGTCAATTTTTGTTGTCTTCTCTCTTTTCCTGAAAGCATAAGCATTTAAGAGCAGCACTGTTATATACAGGGGAGGCAAAGTAGGTTTACAGTTGTGAGTACATGAAACAAGGTTTATTCTTGTATTATTACTTATTATTTTTTCATACGAACAACTGTAAACCCTTGTATTGACATGAAATTTTTCTTTAGTGTTTGGATATTGTTGCAAAGGACATTTTAAAAGTGCCTTTTATTAACATGCAAGTAGTCCTTTGTAGCAATATATCCATCGATATAACTCAAATGTAAGTTTAAACCCTTCTAAGAAAAGTGTTTTCTTCACATATAAAGAGAAAAACATTACAGTAAAAGTCCATTTATCTGAGGTATTACTCTTTATAAATCTCCACTAACTGGCAATTCTATGGAACATTAGTATCTCTATAACATTAATATTGATAGCAGAAACTTTTCTAAGACCCTGATGTAATTCTTGAATTATCAGAGGCTAAATTTTAGTAAATTTTAGTTTTAGGGAGAGTTAATATATTTTCATTGTTAGAGGGAATTTCAGGATGGCGGCAGAGTAGGTGGACGCTACACTTACCTCCTCCCAGGACCAAACTGGAATTACAACTTAATTCAAGAACAAGCATCCTGAATAACTAACTGAAGACTAGCTGAAGAAGAGTCTTATAACCAAGGATTTACAGAAGAAGCCACATTGAGACTGCTCCAAACAGGTTGCTGAGGGCCAGGCACACACAGAAGCATCTAACATTGGCCTGCACCAGAGACCCTCCCAAGAGGCCCAAAACCAACACATCCAGTGGCCAGCTTCAGACAACCTCAGAGCAGGATCTAATAAACGTCACCAACAGTGTATCCAGAGGGAGATCTCTGCCGGGCCAGTAGCAATCATTGGTAGAGAACTGGCCATAATATATTTTATATGTAGTGGCTATTAGCCAGAATATTTGAGTAATCTAAACCTCACTCAACAGGTCTGGCTAATAGTTTTGCTGTGTTTTATTCTTAGTTGGATTTTGTATGAGAAGCCAAATTTTGAAGGGCACTCCATCCCCTTAGAAGAAGGAGAATTGGAACTCGCTGGTCTCTGGGGTATAGACGATATTTTGGAAAGAAAAGAGGAAGAAGAGTCTCCTAAGCCTGTGGTGATTGGTTCAATCAGACATGTGGTCCAGGTAGGTTATGGGAAAACCAGAATCCATCTATCCATTCAGCACATATTTATTGAATGCCAGAGAGATAAGTCTTACTTTGAAAGAAAAGTTCATTTTATGAAATAAGTGGGGAAAATATTTGATTGGTGTTTATGGATATACTTTCTATAAGTATTTGTATACTTTAAGTGAATTAGAAAAGACTGGCTTATTTCACTTTATGCTGAGTGAAATAAGCCAGTCAGAGAAAGACAAGTACCACATGATTTCACTCTTATGTGGAATCTAATGAACAAAATGAGCTAACAAGCCAAATAGAGACAGACTCACAGAGAGTAGACTGACAGCTGTTGGGGAGGGGGGAGCTGTGTGTTGGGGAGGAGGGATTGAGAAAAAAAGAGAAAAAACTCATGGACACTGATTGCGGGGTGGGGTGGAGAATGGGGGAGGGTAAAGGGCAGATGAATGGCGATGGACAGAGGCTGGACTCGGGGTAGTGAACATGCGACACAGTATTGAAGAACTGTTCACCTGAAACCTGTATAATTATGTTAACCAGTATTACCCCAATAAATTTAATAAATAAAATAAAATAAAGTGAAAATAATGATGAAAAAATGAATTAGAAAAGAAACGTTCTATTGGTTAGTCACCTTTTTCATGATAAATCTTGGAAAGTTAATTTCTCACTCCTGGCCCTCCCATCCCTTCTCCATATGTACTTTATGTAATAACCTAGTTTTGATGAGTTCTGAATGAACAGATTTTTCTTTTATTTAGTTTTTTGGTTGCTGTGTGAGTTTTGATTACCTTGAGTGCCCTATAGGAGTTCTATTTTGGAAAAATAAATAATCCAAGAATAATTTAGTTGATAGTTTGAGATTTCATGTGGGTTTAAAAAAAATAGATTTTGAGCCCCAGCCAGTTTGGCTCAGTGGTTAGAGCATCAGCCCGAGGACTGAAGGGTCTCAGGTTCAATTCTGGTCAAAGGCTTGGTCCCCAGCCCCTGTTGGGGTGTGTGCGGGAGGCGACCAGTCGTTTGATGCCTCTCTCTCATTGGTGTTTCAATCTCTCTGTCCCTCTCCCTTCCTCTCTAAAATCAATAAAAACATATTTTTAAAAATAAAATTAAAAATAAATGAATAAAAATGCCATAGTTAGTAGAATAATTTACCTGCAGTTTTTATTTATTGCTCAAATAATATTGGTAATACAGCAGTGTTTTAAAATGTCATCCAAATCCCACCATCATGAATTTTTCTGGATTCTCTATCTTGGCCATATTCTAATCTGTATTTTTCTGTAGTTGTAATATAGACACAATGCTCTTTTCCTTTTTTTCACTTAACATTTTGGTTCTCAATCGTTTTTCTCTTTCCGCACCATTTTTCTGAAGATCACACTCCCATTGGTAACATCTCTCATTGATTTGCAACTGGGGGAGGTATCAGAATCTGGTGGGGTGGGGATTTAAGTGCATTCAGGAAGGTGGGGAAGGGAAAGTGCCTGATAATAACAGACTTGGTAAAGTTAATGCTTTTCATGTCTGCATCCTTTGGGGTTTCCATTGACATGATGTACCATCATTTATTTCTTCTTTCTACTATCTGTGGAACTCAAGGTTGATTCTGGTTTTCTACTGCTTTAAATAACGCTGCATGAACATTTTTTATGCATGTAATCATTTATAAATTTCTGCTTTATTTCCTTGGGGTGAATTTTTCTGAAGGGTGTCATGTTAAAGGGTAGGAATACTTTTATGGCTCCTGATACATTATGAATTATTATTATTACTATTTTTACAGGTTGTGTTTTTGGCTTTTTTAACACAAACATAAGTCACAACATATATTCAAGGGAGTCACTTCTTTAGTTGTTAAATTTGGTTTTTTTGGTAATATTTGAAAGTGCCTCCCCTGAAATAACCCAAGTATTACTGTTTCTTCTATACATCAGTTCACCTAGCTAAGCAATCAAATATTAATAGAGCTTTGATTTGCACTTGGTCACTCAGCCAGGAGAAGCCTTTTGAGGAGTGCTTGATGGACTGTGGACATGCAGGGCATGGAACAGCGATCAAAGTGCAGAGATTTATAAATCACCGTAACTGTGCCTTTGCATTACTTAGACCAGACCAGCACCATAAAAGTTTGGTCATACTCAAGGAGAGTTACTACAGGGGACTTAGGGCACAGAACAACAGTGGAGGGAGACTCCTGGCACAACACTTTATAGACTGGATTCTCTGGAGTTGGGTGTGTGGTCACATCAGAGCAAAGAAACTAAAACTCCTGTCACCAAGGAAAGCCAAGCAGTTTTTCAGCGAGGATGAGAGAAATATGTTCCAAAACTCTAATTAAAAACATTTGCTGCTATCTTTGCTTGAATGTAAAACTCAGATGAATGACGAAAGCAATGTATCTGCCCCTAAAGATCACATATTAGTAAGTCATGGGTGAAAACAGGAAAGGGGTAAAATGAAAGGTGCTTTGTGAAGAATATGTGTATATTTAAAGCGTATTTTAATTATTTGAAAAAAATGATCTTACTGTAGAGTTACATGGTGTAATTATTATTATATATGTATGTATGTGTGTGTGTTTTTCAGGATTACAGAGTTAGTCACATTGACTTATTTACTGAACCAGAAGGGTTAGGAGTCATAAGTTCCTACTTTGATGACACTGAAGAGATGCAGGGGTTTGGTGTAATGCAGAAGACCTCTTCCATGAAAGTACATTGGGGCACGTAAGTGTTTTATTTTAGATACAATTTCAGTGAAGCTTTTTTGATGAATGTCATACTGGAAAGAAGACTTAAAAGATTCTGTCTTTGATTTGTTGTCCTGTTAAGTAAGTATTGACTAAAGGATTTTGTCTTTTGATAAGGCATATAAAATTCTGATTCTTTTGTACAGCTCTTACAAACAGTAACGATTTCTTAGAGGAAATGCAGGAGGGGAAATGTATTTTCAATGTAAGGATTTCCTTATCACAGAGGAACCTGATTCATTCAAAGCTGAGTAAGAGATTTTACCTTCCTGGTCATTCAAAGGAGGTAATTCAAAGCATGTGCCCCTGATATTTCAGGCGGTATAGAGGCCAACACACATGAGACTCCCTTTAACATGTCACACAATGCTGTCCAAAGCCCCTAGGATGTTGATTTCACAAGTCACAGGAAAGTGCAGGAGTATTTTTAAGGAAATGGGACTATCTCAGATGGGGGAGAAATGAGGCTAGAAAGCGCAGGCTGCAGCGCTGAAGAGCAGGGTCTCTCAAGTGGAGTGCACAGCCCAGGGCATGTGAAAGACATCCACCGAGATGCAGGGAAGAAAAGCCCTAAACACTAAAGCTTCTCTTTGTTTTATAATTTTTTTAATATGTCTTCATTGATTTCAGAGAGAGGAAAGGAGAGGGAGAGAGAGAGAGAAACATCAATGATGAGAGAGTCACTGATCGGCTGCCTCCTGCAGGCCCCCCACTGGGGATCGAGCCCCCAACCCGGGCATGTGCCCTGGCCAGAATCGAACCCCGATCACCTGGATCATAGGTCGACGCTCAACCACGGAGCCACTCCAGCCAGGCCCTAAAATTTCTTTATATTGTATTTAAAATCTCCTTTTAAGATTTTATTTTTGTGTATATTTTCTAATAAATTCATAATATATTCAATGGTAATATATAATTTCTAAATATTCATATATTCAGGGAATGAACAAAAGTTTATATGAATGGGGTATGCATAAGACAATGCATATGTAATGTGTCAGATGGTAAATACTACAAAAACATAAGTTATAGAGAGGGACAGTGGTCGTACTACTTTAGATAGTGTGCTCTGGAAAGGTCTAACATGTGACATTTAAGCAGGCACCTGCAGGAAGCCAGAGAGTCAGCCCTGGGGATATTTGAGGGAGGAAGGGCGGGGGAGGGCCTCGGCAGGAAGCACAGCCTTTGCAAAGCCCTGCTGCGCATGTTTGGGCAACAGCTGGAGTAGAGTGAGCTATGAGGGTGCTGATGGGAGAGAGGCCTCATGTCCTGTCAGGCCTTTTAGGCTTTGGGAAGGATTTTTGGTTACTAGAAGTAACGTGAGTAGTCACTGAAGGAGTCTGGTCTAACTTGTGTTTAGAAAGGCCACTAACTGCTGTGTAGAAAATAAACTGTAATGAGGCGAGGGTGGAAGCAAAGAAACAGGTTAGGAGGCAGTTGCGGCTATATAGGCAAGAGGTTTTGGTGGCTTAGACATTGAACAGTGCTGGTGGGAAATGATCAGTTCCGGATACATTTTGAAGGTGGAACTGACAACATCTGCTGACAGATTGTCTGTGAGGTGTTAAGGGCTGAGAAACATCCAGAGTTTGGGACACCAGCATTTGTTGGAATCTTGAAACATGAACATAATTCACAACATTTATTTAAGGGGGTCACCTTTTTAGTTCATTAAATCGGTTCCTTCTGTTAATGTTTGAAAGAACCTCCCCTGAACCAACCCAAGTGTTACTGTTTCTTCTATACATCAATAATAGCTCAGCAATCAAACATCAGTACAGATTCAAGAAGGCTGGTTGGGAGGAAGAGTGCAGCTCAGGAGTTCAGCGTTAGAGAGGTGAGGCTGGGTGTGCCGGCTGGCACTGAGGTCGGAGGTCAGGAAGGAGGCTGGGTACCTGAGACTGGAATCCTGGAGGGAGGCTGGAGATGTAAATTTAGGAGTTGACAGCATGGAGAAGGCATTTAAACCATGCCCTGGAGGAGATCTCAAAGGGAGTGAGTGTAAAGAGCAGAGAAGCCATCTGAGCCTCGGGCACTTTTATATTTAGTGATTGGAAAGAAAAGGAGGAATCTAAACAAAAGAAAAAAATGTCTTTATGTCTTGCTGCCTTTAACTTTTCACGTCGAGACCTAAAGTGTGAATGTTGAAAAACATCACTTTCTGAGAAAACAATGAAATAAGTGTCTGTCGTAATATTTTAATCTCAGTGTCTGGAAGGTTTGCTGACTCAGGCTTGGGCTATGGGGAAGCCTGATGAGCTGCACTTAACGTTTCTTGCCTTTAGAGTAAGTTTGACTTGTGGGTGGCTGTTACAGCCTGTCACAGCTTTCAGTCTATGATGGGCTCGCACAGCACAGCTTCTCTCGGGCTGTTCATTTCTCTCGCCTCCAGGAGAATACAAAGCTGTCTTGGGTGTCAGTTCACAGTTTGGGCCCATGGAACTTGGTTGGTCAGCAATGGGACCGGGTCATTAGTGCTTTTACAGATCTGCAGGGGAGTCCTGATGGATGGGAGAATTCACCGATAATTACCTGAGCTCATCGAACTTCTGTTGGTGCTCCAGTCCCCTAAACTGCATGAGGGACTTTTAAAAATTCCATTAGGAGGTTTAGTCCAGGGCCTGTTTACTCTGGGTTAGGCTCTTCTACACATATGCAAAACAAGGGTATTACCTGTCAGATTTTTATTTGGGAAAATGAGTAATTTCTAGATACATTTTCCTCTCATATTCTGTTGAGTATAATCTGTTTCTAAACCTTCGTTTTAATAGCTGGCTAATGCTAGCAGCTATCCTCCCAGAGGTGAGGGGGAGCTTCAGAGGAGGCAGAGAGAGCACGGGGTTTAACGCCATTATTTAACTAAGGGAGACAGGCTTGGTCATTTACTCAAGTTACGAGAATGCAGGTGGTCTGAAATCAAGGGACATTTTTAATAGCCAAATATTTTTTGATCAATTTTATTATGAAATAATTGATCATACAGAAGAACGTATGTGAATCATGAAGCCTGGTAAAAAACCAAACATTTGTGTGCCCACCGCCCAGCTTAGGCTTCACCATTACCAACAGTGTGCAGCACCCTGCGTAGCCCACCTGATCCGTGCTCCTGACCCCTCTCCACACACGCAACCTCTCGCTGGAATTTTGTTTTTCTTACACCCTTATTTTATAGTGTGGCCCTATAGTGTCTGTCCCTACAATATTTTAGTTGTGCTTGCTTTTGAGCTTTATAAAAATATCAAAGTTCCCTGTGGCTTGTTCCTTTATCTCTACATTGTTTCTAAGATTACCCATATCAGTGTGTAAATCTGAATTTTATTCTTTCTTTTATTACTATGTAATACTCACTGTGTATATTTCCTTGTGGAATACAATATATCGGAGCCCAACTTTTTATTATGAAAGTTTTCAGACATACCCCAAAGTAGAAGTAGTTCAGTGACCATCCACATATCCTCCGCTTAGATTTAATAATTCATATTTTGCCACAGTTGCAGATACCATGACCCTTCATTCCTCTATACTTCACCTGCATCTCTTTACGACACCCTCCTGCGTATCACTTCTAAGAAAATTAACAATACGTCCATGATAGCATCTAATCTATAGCCCATAACCAAATTTCCCCAATCTTCTCAGGAATGTCTTATGGATTTTTAAAAATAATCAAGATCCAATCAAAGTTCATATAAATATACTTAGTTGTCTGTCTCTTTTAAGTCCCTTTTAATCTCTAAGGTACCCATATCTTTGTTTCCCAGGCCACTGACTTTTTGAAGCATTTAGGTCAGCTGTCTTAGAGAATATACTACACTCTAGATTCATCTCTACTTCCTCATGATATCATTTAACTTGTTCCTCTGTTGCCTGAATTTTCTGTGTATTAGGGGTTAGGTCTAGAGGTATGATCACATGCAGGTTGAGGGGTTTTGGACAGATTCTTCATGAAGGTATCGCCAAATATCTGTGTTGCATCGCAGAGGTGCTAACCAGCTCCCCATTGACAATACCAAGTTGGGCTGCTTGGTACAGTGGTGCCTCCTTCACCTCTCCATTGTAAAGGGACATTTTCCCCTTTGGTTCATAGCTCAACCTCTTTTGAATAACCTCAAAGTTGGCACATTCATACGTCATCTTTTGAGTACCCAGTTGGTTTCTGTAAATTGCCAACATTCGTGTGTCGCCATGTCTAGAGAATAAGCCTTGGGATCCAGCCAGAATGGCTGCTTTTGATTTAAGAGCAAGTGAACAAGATAAGACCAGTTTTTCTCATGTGACTTGGTATAAGGGTATTTCTAAAAGAGTAATTACGCAAATTTATCTTTTTAAAAAGTATAGATGGACATTTTATTATTTCACCAATATTTGAATGCATAATTTGTTAGTTGTTTTTTTTGTGTGTTTTTTTCCAAAGAAGCCCATACTTTATAGTCGTACTGTTTATTCATAATATAGGCAAAAGCTCATTCCCTAAGTAAAAGGGACAATAAGAGTACCTCTAGAAACTGAAAGATACTTTCCTGAAGATAGTTTCCCCCTCTCCCGATGGCCTCATGAATAATGCATCTTGTTGGAATAGAATTTAGGAAAAATGAATCACTCTTTTGTTGGAACAGAATTAAGGAAAAATGAATCACACTCTGTAAATGAGTGTTCAGATTCCAAAGTCCATCCAACATTCAGATATGTCTGTCTGAGGGCCCTTAGCACTCACTCACCGGGGAAGTCATAGAACAGCAGCCATTTCCAGTGGGTCAGATTTTTAGCAAATCCCCCTTCACCCCAAATGACTTGCTTCTATAAATGTTAGGTGACTAAGCCACACGCTTCAAGGAAAGTGAACTGGTGAGTGTCAGATGAACAAATCCCCTCAGAACTCAAACTATGAAAAGAAAATGAACGGGCTCAGCATCATTTCAAAATCTCAGAGTTACTTGTTTGTGAGCCATCCATTGTGTTTTTGAATAATTTAGCCCATTCACATGGGAGTAGTCAGATTCCGAGGCCCTTGGCTTGTTAGCCTAATAGCACAGTTTATGACAAACTGCCATTTACTCAGGGCATAAAATGTGGGGTGTGCCTGTGAGAGCACCGAGCTCTAAAAAATATACGGTGTCCCTCAAAAGTGTATATACACACTTTGAATGATTGTAAAGGCAGTGTTTATTAAAATACATTTCATTTTCAAAACTGAGCTATCAGCTAGCTGTTAAAGTGTGTGTACACTTTTGGGGGACACCCTGTATGAGACTCACCCTTAACTGTCATACTTTAAACATTAAAGAGGTTTTAAGGACCCCACTCTTAGCTTCTGTTTTCTTTTGGTTTAGGAGCATGGCAGTGTTATTTAAAAGATAAGCCTCTTTTTTTCCTTAACTTTTTTATTGAAGTATATGTAAGATTTGTACAAAAAGATGCAGGACAAATCATCAGTGTGTAAGCTGAGTGAATTTTCAAAATGTGACCGTCGTCCAGATCAGGAAAAGAACGTAACCAGTATCTCAGAAGCCCCTGCACACGCCTCTTCCCGGTGTCCCCTTGCTCCCGCCGTAACTATCGTCCTGGCTTCTAACACTAGATTCGTTTTGATCCCCCCCGCACACCACACACAGCCTCTCCACATTCATGTGTATGTGTACGTGTGTGTGTGTGTGTTGACAAGTCTTCAGTAGGATTTTGATTGTAAATCCCTGTATAATTAGTGAGTCTAAAGAAGTTACTGATTTATCCAGGGGAATTTTAAACAAAAGCTATCACCAAAAAAAAATGTGCCCTTGGGCCAAGATTGGGAACAAGAGAAAAGCAAAGAGGGAGAATCTGATGCATCTGCTGGTAAGAGATTTCATTTACAGCCACCCCCTTTTTGGCGTGGTGTCCTGGGGAACATGGTGGAAAGCCCCAGCTGGGCCACTGGCAAGACTAACAAAGAACTGGAGGGTAGAAGTGATCACCAAGAATTCTTCGTTTGTCTATGAAGAGGGTATATAACAACTCTCTTATATAAAAGCCACTTCTCCAGCCACCTCACCTTCCCAGAACCCTTCCAGGAGCCAGGAAATTGCTGAGACTTTCACCGTCCTTAGAGACGGTTCTAACAGGCATAAGTTTCTGGTTTCCTGGTTTCTAGCACATTAGGGGAGGGTGGGGCGCTGGTTCCCTGGCCACAGGAGAAGTGATAGCTGACAAGCCTAATAAAAGGGTGTGGTATTGAAAAAGCCATAAAAATCCAAGAACTCAGGAAGCTTTGGGGCTTGGGAACAAGGAGCCTTACAGAATTTCAGAGCCCGCGAGGCCAGCTCTGTGCACTGTCATGCTCACTGTGGTGAGCCTGAGTCACTGTGGAGTCGGTTACATGCGCGCCCTGGAATGAGAAAACTACCATCAGAAAATGATTAGAAGCCTGGGTCTGGAGTCAGCTGGGCTCGGCTCTGCCTTTGGCTATGTGGCCCTGGGCAATGTACTTAACCTCATCTATAAAAAGGGGACAGTAGCTTTCCTTCCTCAGAGCACTGGTAAGGGGATTAGGTGAAATCCTGGGCGGCATTCCTTATTAAGCTCTAGGTGGATGTTAGCTGTTATTAATCTTTGACACTATGACAGAGGAGTAAGTAGAATATCCTATTATTTGGTTACAAGTGAGATGTTGCCTTTTAAAACATAGCTTGAGATTTCCTAGCTGTGGCCGACCTCTCTAAATGCACACAGAGCAACAAGACAACTGTACTTTTAACACTTGGAAGTAATAGAGATGTTTACACTTTAAAGCAATTCTTAATGTAAATTAAAATAAGTGGACAGAACCAACCAAGGAGACAAGCAGACTCTTAAGAAGATGCACATATAATGGTTTATTCCTGCTCGAGTCTAACGTTGCTGAGTGTAACCACGCATCGTCCAGGCCCATCCACGTCCCCTCCTGTTCTTTCCCTTGCTCATCATTGAGATAGGTGACGAACTGTCTCTGTTTATTTCCTTTCTCGGTGCTAATTAGATGGCTGATTTATGAAGAACCCGGATTTCTGGGTGTCCCATTTATCCTGGAGCCTGGCGAATACCCTGACTTGTCCTTCTGGAATACAGACGTAGCATACATTGGATCCATGCGGCCTCTGAAAATGGTAAAAATGTAACAGTGTCCTTGGAGTGGGTGATTCTTTGCCAGCCTCGACTTTGATAAGTCACAGGATGTGACTTTGATGCAATAAAGCAGACTTTTAAAAACAGATAGGTAGTAGATAGAAATAACAGAAAAGATAACTTGCTAGGTGCTTCAGGTGAAAAAATGTGGATAAGCCCTTGTCCTTTGCCTTCAGGAATTCTCAGCCTTCCAGAGACCGGATGTGTGCACAGAGCTTCAGCCCGGGGCAGGTTTAGGAAGTAAAGAAAGTGAAAAAAATTAGACCTCTCTGGCAAAACAGGAGGAAGGACAGATAAAGTCCAACTTGTGGGTGATGTGACCAAGAAAGGGATGCTTGGGGGGATAAACGAAGGTGGGCCTTAGGTGGCTAATTTTAGATGGAGATGCCAGAGAAGGCACTGCATGAGCCAGGACGGGGCTGGGGAAGGGCAGGACCCGCTGTGGACCAGCCCGTCATAGTGACAGAAGGCTGGGTGGCAGCTTTCGGGGCACTGGGGCTGGCTGTCTAAATGAATGCTGTGTTCTCAAGTATTTGCCTTAGCGAGGAGCCTGTGCTTGCTCTGCCCTACCCCCGTTTTGTGCCCTGTTCTTTGTCTGGTTCTTGTGTTGGACTCGAAGCCTTGGGAGGATCCAGGCTGCAACTGTCCTGTCCCCGAGCACAGTGTGTGCCTCAGTGTAGTGGGTACCCGCTAAGTAAGGGTGGCTCTGCCTATAAACATGATTTTGAAATTCCGCTCTGCAGTTGTCTTCTGAGTCCGTTTGAAATAAATTAGGACTTCAGGGAGATAACTTTTTATCTTAATCTCAGCCCTCCTGCCAAAGCTTGTGGTAACTTAGCTGCATGTTTGCTGGTCTTAAGGCAGATGATTTGGGGCTTTTTTCTAAAACTAAATCCACTTTCAAAGACCAAAGTTTTGTTAGTTTTGTGAATGTATCAGAATTGCCCCTGATTTAGAAGGCAGTTTTTAATGATAATTTATAAAACTGTGAAGTTTATTGCATTTGAATAGAATTACTTTTGGAAAGGGTACTTACTTGGTTGTATACGCTCTGGTTTGTTGGCAAAATCAGCCACATTCCTTTATAATTACAGTTCATTTGGTCCATTTGAGCATCATAGGCTGTGTGCTGCGTATTTTTTTTTAAGCTGTTAAATATATATTGCTGAAAAATATCTCCTGACTTTCCCACTGCTGATTTTAACTCTTACTGTGTTTAATATCCTTGTAATACCTTTTGTATGGTTTATTTTTAGTGAGTTTGGGGGAATTAGAAGAAGTTTTTATTATAAAAGTATAACAAGCTCCATAGATCCATCCTTTGGGATGTTTTAAATTTTACCTAACATGTTAATTATTTCAAGAATCTTCCAGATCATATTGTGAACTTCAACAGTTTTGTAAACCATAGGTTTCTAAATCAAATGCCTCCAGGGGCCAGGCAGCAAATAGACACGACTGAGGCTGGCTGGGAACTGAACTAGGGGCCAGTGGAGACGGGCAGACGGGAGCCCGAGTCCCGGCCGCAGAGTGAGCACAGTGGAGGGTTAGTTAAGCTCAGGAGGTGAGGGTTGCTCCTGTGAGAATTTGGTTCCAGATATGTCAGATCTTAGGACTGCTTTTTAAGAGAATGAGAAATACGGTTTTGGGTTGGGTTGTGTTGTTTGTTTTTTTGAGAAATTTACTGAGTTAAAAAACAACTAAAATTTATTGGGTCAAAAAATACAGCTAACAGGTAGATGCAGCTTGTAGACCAGTCTGTGAGACTCTGCCCCAGGCCATCTTCCTCATGTGTTCTGCGTTGTTGGTAATTTTAGAGCTGTCTACGTAAATTTAAACAAACCGGAATCTCCTCTCACTGTGAGATTCTGTGGCTTACCATAATCCGCCACGTGTAATATAAAAGGTAATGTGTCAATGAAAAACCATTTTTCTCACTGTGTTATTTTCTTTTCAGGGTGGTCGTAAAGTTGAATTCCCTATAGATCCAAAGGTAAAACTATATATATTTTAAATTTTATTCCCAGTCTGTCTCTATGAGGATAATACTTGTGTGATTTTACAGCTCAACCTGCATGAAACATAATTGCAGCCAAAGGAAGTTGTCCCCACTTCCACATGCCATCCTTAAGGCTGGAAGGTGCTGATGGCACTAGTTGTCGCTAGCAGCGTGTGCAGCCATGGCTCAGAGGTTCATTGTTGTATCACGTTTATAATTTGTAGTTGTATTTACTAATTGTAGGGCCTGTGACTGCTTGCCAGTAGCCAGGAAAAAACTTTCAAGACAAGTTCTCCCTACTCCAACAGGCTCCTTCTGCTTCCCACATCTGTGACATAGTTTGATCTTTAGTTTGTTTCATTTTTATTTTTTTTAAATCCTCACCCAAGGATATTTTTCCCAGAGAGAGTGGAAGGTACAGAGAGAGAGAGAGACAGAGAGACAGAGACATCTATGTGAGAGAGACACATTGACCGGTTGCCTCCTGCACTTGCCCCGACCCAGGGCCAGGGATTGAGGCTGCAACTGAGATACGTGCCCTTGGCCGGAATTGAACCTGGGACCCTTCAGTCCGTGGGCCGACGCTCTAACCACTGAGCCAAACCAGCCAGGGCTATTTCTTTTTTCTTTTTCTTTTTTTTTAAGTAATATTTATTGATTTTTAGAGGGAGAGGGAGGGAGAGAGAGAGAAACATCGATGTGAGAGAAAACATCGATTGGTTGCCTCCTGATGGCGCCCCCCATCAGGGATCCAACCCACAACCCAGGCATGTGCCCTGACCAGGAATTAAACTGGCGACCTTTGGTGCACAGGATGATTCCCAAGCAACTGAGCCACACCAGCCAGGGCTAGCTTGTTTCATTTTTAAAACAACTTAGAATATTCTGATTCTTTAGTTTGACCTAAGTGAAATTCTAAGTATCAGTTCGAGACATTGAAACAAAACCCAATTGTTTATAAACTGTCTTTTGAACCTTAGCTTTGGGCTATACCACATCAGGAAAAAAATTCTGATTTTTAAAATCATAAAGCATTGTTATTTAGTTAATTTTTAAAAATACGATGAGAAAATTTTAATTTGTGTTCCAGGACTTAGTGTTGTTAAATTACTGATTTAACGTTTAGCTGTTGAGATATTTAACTTCTTACAAAGTACTGGTATATCTCCTTTCTGTTACAGGTAATTATTTATGAAAAGCCTTTCTTTGAGGGAAAATGTGTGGAACTAGAAACAGAAATGTGTAGTTTTATCATGGAAGGAAGCGAAGCAGAAGAAACCACTGGAGACGAACATTTGCCGTTGACATCGGTGGGCTCTATGAAAGTTCTTAGAGGCATGTAAGTAGAGAGGCACAACCTGTAAGGATTTATTTTTCCTCTTTAATCAAGTAATAAACATGCCCCTCCCCCCCCCAAAAATACACACACACACACACGAACATTCCAGATCTTACAGTAGAGAGAATTTCAAAATTGTTCTCCTCAGCCAGTGGTGACCCGGATTTGACAGCAGTTTGAGGGGCCGGTTTGGGGTCAGTCAGCTGAGCAAGGCTGGTCTGTCGGCCCAGCCAGATTGATCAAATCTACAATCTTGTTTATTAATATTATGCTCTAAGCTACTGAACTGTTAGTTTGCTTTCTTTTCTTTTTTTTTTTTTATGATCATATTTTATATTTTCTAGATTTTATATATTTCCTTTGGAAGTGTATACTGCTAGTGGTCTTATAAATGGGCAAAAATATATAATGTTTATCCAGTTTTATTTGCTGATATCCTTTTGAGTCAGTCCTTATTACACACACACACACACCCCCCTACCCTCCTTTACAAAACATTGATGTATGTTTCTTAGATTGTTTTCTTGGAGCCATTCTGTTAATAGCTTAAATTTTAGAGAAGAATCCCAATAGTCATAACTTATAACTATTTGTGTTTGTCAGTGAAACTGATCCATACATTGGAAACATTTTACCTGAGAATTTCTCCTCCATGTTTTTTTCTATTGCAGTTGGGTTGCTTACGAAAAGTCTGGATTTACAGGTCATCAGTATTTGCTTGAAGAAGGAGAATACAAGGACTGGAAAGCCTGGGGAGGTTACAATGGAGAGCTTCAGTCTTTACGACCTATATTAGGTGTAAGTTAAAGAAAAGCTAACGGCTAATACTTGATGTTTGGGGATAGTACATGGCTAGCCTTTGAATTTTGCATTTTTTTTTTTCTCAATAGGATTTTTCAAATGCTCACATGATAATGTACAGTGAAAAACACTTTGGATCCAAAGGTTCCAGTATCGATGTATTAGGAATTGTTGCTAATTTAATGGAGACCGGGTATGGAGTGAAGACACAGTCCATTAATGTACTGAGTGGAGTGTAAGTGAAATAACCCAATCGGGATTTTAAACGTGGGTTTCACCTTGCTTAGCACTAAACCCATACCTTCTCTGACAGAGAATTAAGCTGAACATTAAATCAGTCATTTAATACCTACTGCCACAATATTTTCATAACCACTTTTCGAAATCTTTCTCATATAATTTTCATGTGTAATATAACATTGGAGTAGGCTTTGGGGTTTTGTGACAGAAATTTACAGATCCACTTCCTTTGTCATTCTGCATGGAAAGATCTCATGAATTTCTTATGATGGGAATCAAATAATATAGTGATTTTACATTAGACACCCGAGGCAGGGACAGAGTCCCATTCCACTTTCCTGTGGCCTACACCTGCTCCATTATATTTCCCCACTATTATTTTGACATAAAAATAATTGTTTCCTTGTCCCTGGAGTTAGCAATTGAATGCTTTATTAATGCTAAACTGAGTTTTTATTGAAAGATGGTTAGTCAAGACTCTTTGGGATGCAAGTGACTGCAGCCAACCTGGATTGGTGTAAGTGGTGTAAGTGGAATTTACTGGCCTACCTAACTGAAATGTCCTGCAGAAGGTTTGCTTCAGTCATGGCTGGATACAGGGGCTCAGGTGCTGTCATCAGAACATGGTCTCTCTCTGTCTCTTGCCCGGGATTTTTCTATTCCAGCTTCAGTTAGGAGGCCTTTCCATCTGGTGGTATGGTGGCCATCTGGCTTTTGTTCCTCCATCTCACTTCTTCCAGTGAAAAGAGCTTCTCTTTCTCACAAACATTCCAGGCGTGACTTTGATTCTGTAGGCTTGAGTCCTGTATACCTGCCTCAACCAGCCACTGTAGCCAGGGCGATGGCTGTGGCTGTGTTATGTGCCCATCATTGGAGCTGAGGTGTAGGTTCAGTTCCATAGGAGCCACTTATATGTGATTGGGGTAAGCAGTTCCCTAGTAACATAGGAAAGAGTGGGCACAGATACTGGAGGGGGCGGGGTGTCTGTTAAAAGGAATTCTATAATTATTCTTATGACCCAGGCTGAAAGTTATAATTTGTCGTGAATGAGAATATTCTTAAATGGTTATATGAAATCATCTGACATTGGTTCTGTTTAAAGTGCTTGATGTCAGGTTTTTTATGTCATGAGTAGTAACATAGGCCATCTGAGCCATTCTAACCTCCACTCTATTGCATTTCACGGGGCCTTCCACAGAGCCCTGGATATCTGAGATGTGTCTCCAGTGTGGTATGTTACTGTGAGTCACGTCCACCAGATTCTTGTGTAGGTTGTTGCTTGTGGCTCTATCTTGGCAGAATGACACCAGGGACTTCTGGGTCTTGTGTTCTTAACAGGAAATGCTTTCTCCTTAGTCCTGTTCTGGAGCCCTAACGTTTTAGAACCTGCCGTAGATAAAAGGGATGGTGTGACAGAAGTCATCTGAAATGTCGCTGAGGCGATATTTAGAGATTACTGTTGAAGTTAATTATTTAGAAGGAAAATACAGTGACCAGGCCCATGTGAGCAAACAGTTGTGCGTTCTGATATTCACCAGGTGTGTTGGTTCAGTTAGTCAGAGCTCAGTCATGCGGCCCCGAAGAAGAAACACAGGGCATTTATTAGACTGTGCAGAATTTCCCTGGGCATTTATTAGACTGTGCTGTCAGCACAGATAGACTTACTGTGCTGGGCCAGTCTTTTTTTTTTTTTACCCAACCCTTGTTTATTTGAAATCATTTCCCTTTATAAAACGTTGCTTTTACGTGTTTCTATTTTTAGTCACCTCTAGTAGCATTTCCTGGCCAGGCTCCTTGACTGGTTGTAGCAGTTGGGTTTTGACACTGGGGGAAGTTGAAGGGAGGTGTGGGCGCGCACGCCACTTCCTTTCAAATTGTGTGGCTGTGGAAAGGCTTCTGTACTTACCGGGCCCAGCTGCTTCCTCATATTTCATTGGTCATTTAACAAATATTTATTGAAGTCTGTTTTGTGCACAGCATTTTATTATGTCCTCAAAGAAGTTACAGTATTTATATAAAACATAATTATGCTACAAAAGGCGCAGGGATTAAGTGCTCTGAGAATCCACAGCAGAGAGATTAGTTTCCAGTTTGAACTCGGGAGACTTTGGAGGGGCTAGCCCTGGAGTGGGGCCGTGTGGGACGGGAAGGGGGAGCTGTGCCAAGATTTGAGGGAGGAAGACGGACCTACTCGTTTTTAATGGTTTCAAATAAAAATTACCTTAATGACTTCATTCTTGTTAAATAAGCATTTTAGTTTGGTTCTTTATTTCTCAGTATAGAGCTCAAAGTCAGAAAAATCTTCTTTGAGAGCCTTGTTCTGTGAATTTTTGTTTCAGTCAAGCCCTTTAGATAGTAAAATCATAATCTATTCTAAGTGTGTGGACTTTTAAAATCGTAATCTATTCTAAGTGTATGTCCTAAAAGGAAACTTTATAGGGCAGGTGGCAGTTCAGGGCATTGAGGTGAAGAGAACCTGATGAGCCTCAGGAGACTCAATCAGGGGTTCGATCATCCCCAGCCACTAAGTGATTGTGTCACCTTAGACAAGTCACTTCCCATTCAGAACAAACACCGATAAATAATTCCATGTGATGCTTGTTACTCATCTGTCAGCTTTTGAGGGCAAGGATTTTGTCTTTCATCTTTGCTTACTTCATGCCAGTCTAGTTCCTGGCATATGGTAAGTGGCCAGTGTTTCTTCAATGAATAAATGAATTAATTTTTCTGTGTCTAGGTTTTTCCTTCTGTAAAATGGGAAAACCAGTACCTCCCTAGAGTACATCATTAATGTGATAGTAAATGTGAAAGCATTCTGGAAAGTTCTTAGTATGCATAGAGGCATATAAGCATTATTCCTTTCAGCGGTAAGGGGATCAGGAGGGCAGTGAATTAACTGAGGAGCAGACACTTGGATATAACACTTGGATATAACAGAATTGAAAAATTTCCTTCCTCTCAAAGACTTTGTCTTTGGGTAGGAAATAGCATCCTAGTGAGTTGCTTTTCCTCTCTGAGTGCAGATCACTTAAAAGGTAAATGAAAACATTCCAGAAGGATTTGTTTTTAGTATTTCTGAGCATTTGTTCAATTTTGCTTATTACATATGCATGTCATGTTGGAAATCTCATTTAAAACAAAATTTTACTTAGCTGTTTTTTTAACTATTTTTAACTATTTCTTCTGTCAACTGTTTTTTACAGCGTGGTTTATTGTGAAATGGATACGTAGCTTCCTATAATACTGGGTGGGCAGAAGTAGTTTTACAGTTTGTATGGAAAATAATACAATAATAAATAATAATACAAGAATAAACTCTGTGTTTCACATACTCACAACTGTAGACCTACTTTTCCCCCACCCTGTATATTTCTGGAAAAAATATATTCATGCTGATAACAAAAAGAAGTCCTACTTGCCTATTAGAAGTACTTTGACAGCTGCTTCTTGAAAGTCCAAATTATTTCCTTAGAATAGAATTAGAAAGAAATACAGACACAGTCTCCATGGGCGCTTTCTCAAGGCATAGGACTGGATAAGCAAGAACACCAAAAGGCTCACACCAAGATGCTCTTTCACTCACCACTTTGACGTCTCATCTGGACAAATCTACCTGCTCCTAAAAGACTAATGGAGAATCAGGAAAATTATTAAGATTGCTGATTAGTAAAACAAATGCAAGTTTCTGTGTGATACAGCGTTACTGAGAGGTGACTAATAGTTTTGTTGTTTATGTAAATGATGAACTATGACAAATCAGGGTTTTTGTCTCTTCAGATGGGTAGCCTATGAAAATCCTGACTTCACAGGAGAACAGTATATACTGGATAAAGGCCTTTATACCAGTTTTGAGGACTGGGGAGGAAAAAATTATAAGATCTCTTCTGTTCAACCCATATGTTTGGTAAGGAGACATATTTTTGTATGGGAATATTTAACTGAATTCTGGATTTCCTTCATGTGTGCTTCTGGTTCATGTAATACTTAACACCATAGATACTATGCTGATATTATTTTTAACAGTAATTGCTAATCTGGAAGAAAAAAAGTTTTTTAAAGATGTCTGCTCTACTTACTCTCTTCTAACTCTTCCCTTTAAAACTTTTTAGGATTCTTTCACTGGGCCAAGGAGACGAAATCAGGTAACTTAAAAGAAAAAAAAAAAATTCTATTTTTTATAATTAGGGGCCATCCATTGAAAAGCTGAACTTATGTGTAAAACTTCAGACATTTGGGACATTTTGTTAGTTTTACACATTTTTATGTCTGAAAGCATAACTGTATTTTTAAATTAGATTTAAGTATCTTAATGCTTGATACCATTGATTCATATCTAAATACTTCTTATAAAATGCTCTCATGATGTAATGCTGAATTTTTATATCATTATATTGAATCAGAGTTTACATGAATGCACAAGTTAATATTTCAAACAATACATATAGTTATTGTGATAAACAGTAAAATGAGTTTTCATGTTAGCTGTGTCTGCATTAGACAAACATTTTATATGATCTCTTTAATATGGTCTCTCACTGAAGCCATTACACTTGTTATTTGGGCTTTTTACTGGAAGTGTTCAGACAGCCGTAATTACAGAGGCACAAACCCCACTGTAGCCTCCTTTACTGGCTTACACAAGATTCTAATCAGTCAGCACATATCTTCCATGGAGAGGGAGGAAAGCTATACTGTTTCCAAAATATAGTTTCTTGTAAATGTTAGAACTGATGAACAATTACTTTTGGCCACAGTAAAGCTTTAAAATGCCTCACAGCTTGTTGGGACAGAGTGCTCTATAGAGAGCTACCTCTGTTGTTGGATTGTGCTTTGATGTCTCTGACTTAAACAGTTGTGATACAGCCAAAGCATTTCTAATTGGTATTAATGTAGAAGTACAAAATGAAAAGATTTATAAAATTCCTTTACTATCACAAGAGTTAACAACATGTTTGGGTCACGTCCAATGCTGATTGAGTTAATGTGTTTGCAGAATAATTTTATGTATTTCCATTTACTTTTTCCAAGATTCACTTGTTTTCGGAACCAGAGTTTCAAGGTCAAAGTCAATGTTTTGAAGAAACAACAAGTCAAATTGATGATTCCTTTTCTACCAAGTCTTGCAGAGTTTTAGGAGGCAGGTAAGCAACACAGCGGACTGGCAGAGCCGTGTCACTGGGGAAAATAGAATTCACACATCAGCAGTATTTAGTGACACCTTTAGGTGGTTGGTACTAGATAAACCCCCCAGATAATACAAGTGAGTACTAAAGTGCAGGACCTCAGAGGACATGGAGACCGGTGTGGGTTGGGCAAGCTAAAGATCACCATCTCCAGGGATATGGACCGGGCTCTGTCCTCTCTAGGCCGATCCCATCATCCACAGAGGGGCTGAGTAATCTCTAAGGTACCTCCCAAGGTAGATGTTTTCCTGTCACATAAGGGGTAGGATAGGCGTTCTGCATGGCAGGCGAGTGCATGGCTGCGGGGGAGTTGGTGCGTTTGCCGACCAGGGAGCACACCGCCCTCTCTAGCTGGCAGGTCTTTTCACTGGGGGGAGGGGATACAAGTTTGGGAGGGTGGCATCAGGTCATGAAGGCTCCCCCAAGCACATGAGTTTGGATGAATGCCATAGGAATCACAGCGGGAAAGGCATGAGCTTGAAGTGCTCTGCTGAAAACAGTGGTTTTACAAACGCTTTTGAAAGGGGAGAGCCCAAGGTCAGGGCAAACTTGGTCAAGAAACCCTTGGAGCAACCCTGGCAGAGTGGAAAGAGCACCTTTGCATTCAAATGCAGGTTCCCAGTAAAGCTTCAGTCTTTATGGGCACATCCCTCCACCTGTCCCGGTTCCTTTTTGTCACCTACCCAACTTCATTTATTACCATCAGACATACAACTTTTTGTTCATTTATTGTCTGTCTGAGCTCACTAGAGTGTAAACTTCAAGATAGCAGGGACTTGGTTTTGGCCTCTGTTCTGCCCCCAGCAATGGAACAGTGTCTGATACAGAGTTAGTCCTCGATAAGCATTTGTTGGATGAAAAGCAAAACAAAACAAAACAAAAAAACCCCAAACGCCAACTCTCCTAGGCAGACATGGTGAATCACCATTTTATCAGTAACGCTGAGGCCCAGAGAGGCTGAGTGACTTGTGTGAGTCACGATGGTAATTTCACTCCGGCTCAGCGCAGAGGTGTTGGGAATGAGAATAGAGGAATGTGAGAGAAATTTTGGGAGGAAATCAGCAGACCCAGGTGACTGACTAGCTGTGAAGGTTGAAGGATTTTCGAGAGGACCCCAGGGCTTGACAACACTTCAGTGGCTGGGAGAATGTGGCACCCGTGAGAGCAGCAAGGAGTGCTGGCAGCTGGAGAGGAAAAACAGGAATCATTTCACGGAGAGAGAGGTTTTATTTCCCAAATGCAAAGCTAACAACTGACTTATTGTAAATATTTGCCACCAGATTAAATGCAGAAAATATGTCCAGATATTTTTGAAGAAAGAACACTGTCAGCCACGAGCATGTTGTTTTATAGCAGGCTACCTCTAAAAATCAGAGTCTTGAACAGGAATACTCCAGTCACATTTTGTACGTGTTTGTGGTTTTTCCTACTGCAGCTGGGTTGCGTACGACGGAGAACATTTCTCAGGTAACCAGTACGTGCTGGAGGAAGGCCATTACCCGTGCCTCTCCGCAATGGGCTGCCTGCCGGGAGCGAGCGTGAAGTCCCTGCGGTTTATAGATGTTGTGAGTATGTCACTGTGAACCCGGCGTGCCGGACACGCGCGGCCCACACAGTCAGGCAGAAGCGAGTTGCAGCAGAACTTCCTACCCTGTAGCTTTTGAGCTCTTTTTAGATCTTTAACATGTAAATTGTTTTTGTTTGCTGTTTTCTCAGACTGAGGCAGTGTTGACTCGGTCATGGCACACAACCATCCTGGGTCGTTCCCGGCCCCTCGCCTGTTTGTCCGTCTCATACCCGATCCCTCTTTCACCCCTCTCCCCTTTACAGACACCCATTGTAATGCGTGTGGGACACGGCTTGGATATTCTTATAAAAAGCGTTTTTTAAAAGCCTCTATATAGACTTTTGATTTATATACAGCGTGATGCTATAGTTCTCACTGCATGATAGACATAACTCAGTACCTGATTTTAAGAGCTGGCCACTATGCTGTTTGTATCTCTACTGATTCTAACCGGGGCAAGCATCCCATCGCCGTGCTTTGCTCGTTTATTCTCATCTGTGCCTCCCCATGAGCCTGCGGAGGTCTCTTGGGCACACATATTAGGGAGTGGACTCGCTGGGTTTATGTGCGTGAATATGCAGCTTCACTAAGTGCTGCCCAGCTCTACCACTTCAGGCTCTTGCTGGCAGTGCCCGTGGGTTCGTTTTCCACGTCGTTGCCATTACTGAGTACTCTGACCTCCTACCTTTTGAAGGAATTGGGTAGAAAGTATTCCCTCATTGTTAATTTGTGTTTCACTATTGGAGAGGTTGGTATCTCATGTACTTACTAGTCATTTGGGTTTTCTGTTCAGTGGATTGTCTGTTTATATCCTTTGCTCAGCTCTTTATAGTTTCCTGTATCTTTTGTTGTTGTTATTGATTTGCAGAAATTACTTATAGTTTTAAAATCTGTTATGCTGTTGCCCTAGCTGGTTTGGCTCAGTGGGTAGAGCTTCGATCCATGGACTGAAGGGTCCTGGATTGGATTGTGGTCAAGGGCATGTACCTCGGTTGCAGCCTCAATCCCCGGCCCTGGTCAGAGCTCATGCCGGAGGCAACCAATGAGGCTGTCTCACATCATTCTCTCTCTCTCCCTTCCACTCTCTCTAAAAAGCTATGGAAAAAATATCCTCGAGTGAGGATTAAAAAATAACACAAAACCTATTACGCTGTTGTTTTTGAGATTTGCAATCAAGTGACTTCTCCCGGTTTATCACGTGTTAATCCAGATTATAGTGCCCCTTCTGAACAGAAATCTTTACTTTTGATGTAGTCAAAGCAATATTCATTAGAACAAAACTGCAAGGTAATGTTCAGATGTTAGTCTGAGTGTGTAGTTTTGGAAAGATTTTAGTTTTCAGTAGCTGATCTCTCATAAAAAGTTTTAAACATATATGGTTGATTTTAGTTTTAAAGGCAGAAAGAATTTATGTGAGTTGGTTTTATCTCATCCTTGCCTGCATGTTCAAATAACTAAAATGTTGACCTTTATTGAGATGTGAAAATAGCAGTGAAACATGGAATGATGTGGTAGGATTCATTAGCCTTCAGATACCACACAAACCACCTTTACACAGTAATCTTCTGTTTACTGGTCAACAGAATCTACGTGTCAGGGCACATTCACATAAACGAAGCAGTAAGGCCCACGCCCTTGCCGCGAAACTTTAAGCAGGTAGGGAATTTTTGATGTATCATTTATGATTTTAGGATTATTATCATTAGAGCTTGGTCTAGGGTCATAAGGATCTATAATTTGAAAATAAATGACAGTTTGAACATAGGGTTTCCATCCTGTAGTTTTCTCTCCTCCTAACAATATTCCTCCAGGAAAGTTTGGGAGCATGAGTGCACAGAATCATTGTCTGTTGACAATTAAAACAAAGAAGACAGTTGAAAATGCATACACTAGACCCGAAGACTGCAATAGCCCTCTGACCTTCACCATTTATGTCCATAGCTTTCCAGTCCCAGCCCTTCCTTATCACAGTAGAAAATGGCAGGATTGAAAATAAATTCATTAAACATGTCACTATTCCAGGCGTATATACCCATTCCTTTGTGCCTGGGATATCCCCCACCCTTTGTAGCACTATTTACATTTACCTGCCTTTCCACGCAGTAGGAAAACTCCCTGCCCCCTTCCTTCCTATATTTAGCTCTGGAGCGTACAAATACCCCGACTTCCCGGGAAAGGGTTTATGACAGGCCAAGCCCGGCCAGATATCCTGCTCTGTCCTTGGAACAAAATGATTTTTGCATAAGCTCAAGTTACTATCAAAGATGAATAAACACAACATTATTTTTGTTCCTAAACAGGAATTGTCTGAACCAACAATTATTCTTTTCGAAAGAGAAGACTTCAAAGGAAAAAAGATTGAACTTAACGCAGAAGCAGTCAACCTCCGATCCCTAGGATTCAACACGCAGATACGCTCTGTTCAGGTGATCGGTGGCATGTAAGTGCGTTACCTACTTGCTTATTTAGTAAGAGTCGATTTTAAAGATTAAGTTTGGTCATACTTCTTTCTCTCCTACCCTACCTTAAACCCCTATTTTCTGTAAGGGTTAATAATTATGCGCCTTCATAGTGTACCCTTCTCATTGGGAAAGGCCATGTGTGAGGCATCTCTCATCTCTTCCTCCACATTTTTAGTTTACTTAAGATAAGGACTTGTCTTTAACACCTCAAAGTTCCTAGGGGAATGCTTTGCAAAGCAACGCTCACTACATTTATTGAGCACTTGTTTAGCAAGTAAGAGCTCATTTTTCCTTTCCCTTTGAAAGACCAAGTTCCTTTGATTCTGGAGTATGGGTTGGGGTTTCCCTTTAACCAGGAGTGACTGGCAGATGCTGTGCACTTAAAGGTCAATATGGGAAGATTTTCCTCAACTTTGAGTAATTTTGAAATTAAGATGTAAAAATGAGTAAGAACTATCAATGTAATAAATGCTTTTAAGAAAGTATTTTTCTTTCACTCACAAAAACAACAGGTATAGTCTACCTGTATGCATCAAGTGTTGGAAGGGACCATAGCTGCTTAAAAAAAATTATTTGGGTGCTAGAATTGTGGGTGATTTTTTTCCCCAGCAGGTTTTGAGCTCCAGGATTAAAAGTCGAGAACATTCTTCCCTGATGTGACACACCGGCCAGAGGAAGGCTGCTGGCCGCATGCCACCATGTGTGGGAGCTCATAACCTCGGGTGGGCTCCTGGGTAGCTTTGGCAGTTTTCTGGATTGAGGAAGATTACTCCCACTTTAAACTAAAATTTGAGTTATTTTTTATTTAATTTACCACGCACTAAGAACTTTACATAACAGATCCATTATTACAACTGGAAATGTTTTGTGAAACATAGGACTACTGGGCTGTCCTGCTGAAAGACTATTAGCTCGATTTCATTGCCTTAGTGGAGGAAAAACTTACCTATTTCTCTTCACTAGAACTTTGTGGCATAATTATGTACCAAGAATTTGCTATTTGTTGAGAAACGGGTGTTTTAGAAAACAAGGTAGTCCCTCCCACCACGTATATTTAAAGTATAAAGCTCAGTCTAAAAATTGGAAACGTTCTAAAACTGTAATTGAGGCGCGTTGTCAAGTGGATACTGCCGCTTACTTGCAGTTATCTACCTTTCTCTTTGCAGATGGGTTACTTATGAATATGGCAATTACCGGGGTCGGCAGTTCCTGCTGTCACCAGCAGAAGTACCTAACTGGTATGAATTCAGTGGCTGTCACCAAATAGGTTCTCTACGACCTTTTAATCAGGTATTTTTTTCTCCATGCTTTGAATAGACTCTTCTCTGAATTATTTTTAATTTTTGGTAAATGTAATTCAACTTTTGAGTTTCAATTTTAAGTTTGAAATTTGTCTCTCCTGTCATCACCCTGAATTTCTGAATTTGGGCTGTTTCTGGTGCTAAGAGGTCATAGCTGCTTTCAGAAATGCTATTATCACGCCTGACATCAAAACATGGCGGGTCGCAGGCCCTGGGTTGTCCACAGGCAGGCTCCCTGCCCCGGGCACTTCTTTAACATTTCATCAGAATCTTCTCAGCGAGAAAATCCTAAAGCCTCTGGGACTCTTGGGTATAGAAATTGTCCCTAACTCACCCTCACCTTGGATTCTGCCCGTCATTGATGCTGCTCAGTGCTTCTAACAGTACAACTTATGTGATCATTGCTGGGGTTTTGTCTTCTAGAAACGAATTTATTTCAGACTTCGAAACAAAGCAACAGGGTTATTCATGTCAACCAACGGAAATTTAGAGGACCTGAAGCTTCTCAGAATCCAGGTCATGGAGGATGTCGGTGCTGACGATCAGATCTGGATTTATCAAGAGGGATGCATCAAATGCAGGGTGAGCTTTAGGACGAGACAGAGGCCTGTGATGGCCTCTTTCAAGTCAATGCTATTTCACGATTCCTGGGGCACCTTCAGAAATAAACTAGGTTTTTCATGAAAATATTTCTTAGCTCTTATAGAACCAGTCTGCGGATGTAAAATGGGAGGTAAATCTAAGACTGATCCAAGATAGAGTGTTGATATCTGTACTTGATTTTTATATAGTAATGGAAAGTTATATAGTAATTTCTACTAGGTATAGAGATGAACTATAAGCCCCAGCATTATCAACACAAACCTCTCTTGGTCTGCTCGTTTTGGAAGACCTCACAGACTAGAATGAAGGCAGAGGAGGTGCCAGCCCGTGTAGACACAATCCATTTCCTCACTGTCACACCCTGGAGAGTGGAAAATGCCCCACCTTCCTCTCGCCTCACTCCTCCATAACACAGCTTAAGGGCTGCATGGAGTAAGAGTTTATGAGAGGAGCTCATGCTTCTGTTGTAGAAACTCTTTTTAACTTCCTGATTTTATAGACTTGACTGTTTGCTCCCAATTTTTTTCTAAACGTGGTGCCCATGAGTCAGCAGAAGGCACACAGCCTGTGAAGGGCTTGTTAATTAGGCCCGTGGTGCCTGGGGGAGAGTCATCCTTCCAGTGAGCCCAAGTGCTGTTCAGACTCGCACAGAAGGAACAGCAAGAGCTGTAACACAGGAGCGCAAAATGGCCAATTCTGCCTTTGAATAATCTTAGACAATTCAAGAAAAATGGAGCCTTTCATCAATGATTTCTAACAAATATTTTAGTGATTTTACTTAACAACTTTGAATTCAGTAGGCTGATGAGAAGTAAAGCAGCCTAGATCATCAGCCCTTTTATCTCAGTGTAGATAGTCCTTTCCGTGAGCATTTTCTTCAGCGCTGTTAGTGTTGTGTGAACATGTGACTACCATACACTGAAGCAGACTCAGAAGGACCACAAAACTCCCGCATGAAAACGTACTTTACTGCATTGGTATTTTCTTCTTTCTCCTTTCATAGCTGGATAGCATGACTTTTAAGAAAATTTGACATTTCTCGTGAAAAAAAGACGAGAGAAATTAATAAATGGAATTTCAAATTTTAAAATAACAAATTGCCCTTTTAGCCACTTTAGTGCTACAACAGCCTTCAAAATTAGACGTGCAGCCACATTCTAGAAGAGTCCAGCTGAGCAGAGGTGGTTGGGGGGGAGGGGAGGATTTAGCAACAGACCCAGCCTTAGAGGACAGTCATTTCCGGGAGGGAAAACTATCCAGTTCTCAGGCTTCTCTCACTATAAGACAGTCTCACAAAGGGCAGACGTCTCTTACAATGGACAGGAACAGAACTCTCCATCACTCGTGTCATCTGAACTAAGGGGCGTAAGGGTAAATGAAGCCAGGATCTAGGGTGACTTTAAAAATTAGTTTAAACAGGGAACCGGTAACACTTAAGCATATGTCCATCTCTAAGATACCGTGTCTCTGCACTAAGCAGATAGCCGAAGACTGCTGCCTGACGATTGTGGGGAGCCTGGTCACCTCCGGCTCCAAGCTGGGCCTGTCCCTCGACCAGAATGCTGAGAGTCAGTTCTGGAGCATGAAGTCAGACGGCAGGATCTACAGCAAGTTGAAGCCAAATTTAGTTTTAGATATCAAAGGTGAGGATTGTTTCTTTTATTTTCTTGGTTATGTCTTCCTTAGTTAACTAAAAATCTATTCTTTACTTCTGAAAATGGTGTGTGTACTGTGACAAATAGTAAGAGATTACTTACGACGTGTCAGCCACTGTGCTAAACACTTTGCATTCTCATGACCTTCACAGCAGCCTGTGTTATTCCCTCCTACCCGTCCCACGCTACAGCCCCAAAACTGAGGCTCAGAGGATCAGTCCGTCTGGCCTTAAGTGTTGAGGTGGAGTCTGCACATGGGTGGTCTTCAAATCTTCTGTTTTATTTTAGCAGCGTGAGATGAAAAATCACAAGCTAAAAGGCTGTGGTCTCAGTACACTTGATTCTCATGTCTATACATGTCACCTTTCATTGAAAAGATCTAAGATCTAAAAGGAATTAAACAACACAGCCAAGAGGATTCTAACTGAACATGTACTCAATGAAAATCCAGAGCAAACTGATGGTGCTTGGGAAGAACAAATAAATTTTGGGCAGTGTTTCCCAAACTTTATCTACATCAGAATCATCTAGAGGACTTACTAAAATATAGGCTATAGGCTTCACCCTCAGTTTCTGATACAGTAGGTCTGGGTTGGGGCCTGAGAATCTGCATTTTTAGCAAGTTCCCCTTACCACTAGGAGAACCTCTGATAATTTAAAAACAACATAAAACAAAAGTGATTTTCTAACATAGACATGGGAATTCAGTAAACTCTTGTTGCTACTGACAAGCACATGAAGAAGTGTGTTTTATTTATGTCCTATGGGTAATTTTGCGTTAAAACATTAATGGAGACTTTCTATTTCCTATCAGGAAAGCCAACATGATTATGTTTATAAATTCAGTGAAATGGTTATAATGTAGCCTTTACTATATCACATACTTCATTTTTAAAAATTGCTAGAAAATTGGTTCAATTTTACTTTAACCATGGCTCTCGGCCAGGCTGTCATTAAAAATTGATATAGGGGTAAAGAAACAGCTGCAACTTGGTTTTAAAATAACTTCTCTGGATGATGGAGAATAAACCTGAACATTTTCATCAGGGGCTTTGGTGACTGCATGGGGAGCAGAAGTGGGTGTCATGGATCGAGTGGGCAGCCCACTTAATACTGGGATTAGAATTCACGAAGAACCTGAGAGGCTGGAAAGGTGCTCGGGGCAAACTCAGCTTGTGAGGCAAAGGCAGAGTACACTTAGGGAGCACTAACTAAGCGATACGTAACAGGCTGCATGGGGACCAAAACCACACATGAAATGCAGGATACAAGAAAACAGATGTAACATTCAGAAAATGAGTGGTAACAGAAATATCTCCTTCACATGACATTAGGTACAAGATTTGTCATTTGTGGACATTCTACAGATGATCAACCTGAGGTTCAGACTGGTTAAGAATCGCTGAACCAGACCCTTTTTTATTCTTACTTTCATCAATCTGTTGAACTGGAGGTAGTTTCAAAACCTCTAGAAAAGCCAAAGAAAGTGACTAAATTGGAAATGTTGGTTTTTTTCCCTAAAAAAATGGATTCATGTTTTTTACAAATGTGATGAGCTGCTTCTGTCCAGGGTTAAGGTCAGTTACCCTCATGAGCTAACTTAGAGCATTTTCCCTTTGTTTTTTTAAACATGTATTTATTGGGTACCCACTATGTGGAAGGGTCCAGGTAGAAAAATAAAGGATACTACCTTGGCTTCAGAGAGCTTCCTTCTAGAATCGCCAGGCATATAGGACTTTTCCGCATTTCCTACATTAACAGTTGACCAGGAGTAAGGATACCTGGCTTCCAGTTTTGACTCTGACAAGAACTGTGGGACTCAAGGAAGTGCCTCCTTAGTGCTTTAAGTTCCAAAGTCCCTTCCTAAAATGCACGGAAGTTGGTCAAATGCCTCCTGAGTAAGGATAATGTTTGTATGCTGTGAACCCTCAGTCTGTCTAGTATGTAGCTGCTGCCTTAGTCACTTGGTGGCTTGTTAAACAGCATTTAAATCTCAGAATGGGAAAACGGTGCCATCTCGTGGACATGAGCAAGTAGGGCCACACGTCCCACAGACTGTGCAAAGGAAATACAATTACATCTCTTTGGTGCACTTTATAGAAAACTGTAATTGTCTTTAGCTACAACTATGGAACCATGTGTTACCTAACTATGTTGCTATAAGATTTACAGGACCTCTCTTGGTGTCTGGGGCACGAGTTGTTTTGGTGGACATTCATGTATTATTCCAGACCACATACGTTATGACAACAGTGGGCGTTGATTCATGTGCAGTTTAAAAGCATCAGATGTCTGGGATGATTTTAATTCTCCCAAAGGAAGAAGAATGAATCAGATTATTTCTCAGGAACTTTCTAGTCTTCATGATTCTAATTAGAATTATGCCGTAATGTACACAAAAAAGGAAGTTAAAACACTATAACCTCAAAGAATGAAAGACATTGTGACCTTGAGATAACACTTCCAGGACTCTCAGTGGAGCAGACTGTGTGTGACTTAGTGGGCACTGTGAGGTTTGCTGGTGGTAGTAACTCTTTTCCACTGCAGACTTGCACACAGAAGGCCCAAGGCACACGCCCTTGTATTCCATCCTATACCTCGCTGTGTAGAGGCTCTAGATTACCAATGATGATAAACCAAACTTGTACAAGAGGAACACTGGATAGATGATTTCCTTCCCCACTTACCCAGATCTGTGGTGTAAGTTATCAGACCTTTTGGATATACTGTAAGTGCTTTAAAAGAGAGTAAGGACGTTTAACTCTTCTTAGCTTGAGGCTGCAGTATGATTTCATTACCAGTCACACTCACCCTGCAGCAGGTGAACAGATTTCTGCTCTGATGGAGTCCTCAGTGCCACAGCCTTGGTGCAGGGACTTATGCTAGAAAAGCATAAGGCATCTGAAAGGATGTTTATCCCGCATGGGAAAAAGTCAGATCACCCTTTTGTTAGAACTTCTCCATTAAGAGAAGACCATGAGGCTGTTTTTAACAACCAAGTATCAGAAATATCTAGTAGGCACCCTTGGAAGATACTCTTACATTCTGGTGAAAGGCAGTCTCTGGGGCCTGTGCTAGTAAACCGAACTCCGCATCTGAGGTGCCTCGATTTTACGCACCAAAGCCTGTGAGTACAGTAGCGGGAGTGCTGCCCATGCCCCTGGGCGCCGCTTAGACCTCCGTTTACCTAATTCGGCCATTTTTCATTGTTCATGCAAAACCCGTTCCATCGGACAGCCATCCACTACGCTCAGGTCTGCCTGTTTTCCTCACTGTATCTCAAAGCCATGACCCCACCACTGAACGTATTTCAGTCTCTTTGCTCCTTTTCTCTGCTCCAGATTCTTCCCTGATCCCCCCAGTTTCAGGCATCTTAAGAATAATTGTGGACTAAGTTTTAAGACTTGAGTGGGAAAAGGAGCCCCAGGAAGTAAGAAATCCTGGGGGAGCTGCTGGTGCCCTTACCGTGGGACTTGAACACATTCACCCCCAGCGACCGACCTGTCCGACTGGGTGCGGGTCAGGGCTGTCCTCCGCTGTTTCCTGGGGCCCACGGCTCTGCGCCCGGTTTCTCCTACCTAGTTATTCTGGTGCTGAGGTGAACTATGTCTGCCGCGGCCCCTTCACAGTGGGCACATTTCCTTTTACTACTTTGCTTTTCCTTTTTTCAGGGGGTGCACAGTATGATCAAAATCACATTATCCTGAACACCGCCAGCAAAGAGAAGTTAACACAAGTGTGGGAAGCCATGGTCCTGTAAACCTGGACGAAGACCACGGGAGGAGTATTTCTGCAGGTCTCCCAGCTACCTTATTATAAAAAACAAACCAAAAAAAGGACTGCTCACAGAAGAACCAAGAGGAAGCCGTGTGCTCCTTCAGTAACTACATTCACTCTTGAATCATGCTGCCAGGACTGGGACAGTGGTCTCATCTCCAAAAGAATGTAATAGTTTTAAACCAATAATTTCTTCTTCTTTCATTTCTTGCCTTTCATTTCCTTTCAGCAGCTGCTTATATAGGTTGCCTCATTAGCAGCTTTGGGGTGTTTTTAAAAAAATCTTATCTCAAGATGTTAGGACTACGTACATTTTAAATGATTTCCAAAGACAGTGACAGGAGAGAACACGAACAAATTCACCGACTTGGTGGACCTACAAATCCCTTACACTTTAAAGGGAAGGGTAAAGGCTGAAGTCTGTAAGGTAGAAACTTTAGCACTTGAGAAGTAATGTATTAGGCCTATAGTTTTGGTCCCTGATCTTCTGTTTTCTGGAATCATAATTATGCTGTATAGCAAAGAGAGAAATTATATACTCATATTTTAAGGAACTGAATGAGTATAGACAAAACACTTTTCTGTTAATATTAAAAGTTAGTACATTTAAAAGATTTCATGTCCTTGTCTACTTACACTTATGAGCTGGATTTAGATTATTTAACTCACCGTGGGCTGCCTTAAGACTGTCACAAATGAGTGCTGTTTAAAGCTTTTCTTACAGATGCTGCTGGAACAGTATCACCACGACCTAATTTATTACCCATCCCCACTCATCTATAACTAGTTCTGAAGCAATGTTATGCGATCCTTTGCTAAACTCAGGTCATTTAGCCTAATTCCCTACCCTTTCTCCAGCTGCACTGGCAGGAGGCCTGCATGGGGCTACCTTACCTGTAATGTTCCACAGCCCTGCTCCGGGGAAAGCTCTGGTCTCAGGGTATCGCAGCCCCTGTGGTCACTTACTTTGGGTGTGGAAGGCTCAGGAGGATGACCAGCAATTCTCTTCCAAAAGTAAAGGAAAGGAGGCTTTAAGCAATGCTTGTTGGTCAAATCTTAGAATGCTGAAAACCCTAAAATTCAGCAAGCATTTCAGTGAAAGTTGAAAATGTTTAACTGCTGATGATACACTGCCCACATGGTGCTGCTCAAACAGTGCATGCTCACTTTGAACAAAACTGCTGAACAATCCTTGAATGCCCTCTTCCTCTTTCTGTCCTCATGTCATTGTCCTCGTCACTGAATGCTGGTGCTCTCATCAGGGGAAGAACAAACCTCGTTTCCTTTTCTTCTGTTCCAGTGTGTCCCTCACTCTAAAGTGTCAGTCCTCTCTGAGTCTGTGGTAAGCAATTATGGTCATCAGTGTGGTATCTTCAGTTTTAAAGTGATGCTTGTACGTGTCCAACAGCAGCCAGCACGTCCGTCTTGCCCTGAGGTGTGTGGCGCTGATTTTCAGCCTTTGTGCATCTCATCCCAGTGTGGGGGCTAAGACATCCTACAGCAGTCTCTGTTGGAGTCATCCCATGAATAAACTTGTTTCTGGTTAACTGTGTTGATGAAACTGAACAGAGTCCTTTCAGTAGCCCTCATAACACTTCAGAGAGTCAGCTGGCAGATTAGAAACAAGTGTCTGACTGGTTAGGACAAGGCAAGTTTCAGGGGTGCTGGCACATGGCAGGGAAAGGTTGGCTGACTCTCCCCTTTCCTGACAGTGGTGAACCGGTCACTCCACTTTTCTGCGTGGACACAGGGATGAGGCCCTGCCTTGAGTTTGCCCCACCCCGCCCCCTGGGATCCCTCAAGGGAAAATAGCTGAGACTGTTTCCAGCTATTCTGAAAACAGTCTTTCTTGTGAGATAAACCTGTAGTAGTGAGACCAGCAATTCCAGAGAAAAGCCCTCATCCAGCACACTACTACTGAGTGTCTAACAGGATAAACCAAGTAGAAACCTACTCAAACAGGCCTACACCAAAAGCTAACCTCGAGTGTCTAGGGTGCAGTAACGATGACTACAACAGGAGAGCGACACTCACCTTAAGTGAATGAAGGGCAGGCTGGCTTCAAGAGCAGCCGCAGGCCTATGGGTGAGACGCCTAAATGCAGGCATTTAAGGTCAGAAACGAGAACTGTGAGCCCCAGGGGAATGGTGGAAATTTCCATGGAAAAGTCCTCACAGAGGCATGTTTCACTTGTTGAAGGAGGTCTAGCCCTTATGCAAAATGTAAGGGTTTTAAAAGTAAGAAACTTTAGCATCACTTTCAATTTCTAAGAGTAACCAACCAAATCAGGGCCAGATGTTTAGGCCCTAAGAGGTTCAGAACTCAGAGGGCTGTTGTGACCACAGCAGAGCAGAATACAAATCAAAGGAAATCTAGGGCCATTAAAGAGGTGCTCACTGATGAATCTAGAAAGCGCTGGCCTTAGGTAAGCTCTCATCCATGCCGCCACTCATCCATATCTCACTAACATTAAAACAGTAAAATCAGTCTTAGTGACTAGGACAGAAGCTGCCATGATTGGCAAATCTGGTGTGAAAGAACAGCCTGGAAAAAATATGTAATTGTCACTGACTTTATAGACAAGTCTAAGTATGGCCATTTTCCTACCCCGTCTTACTTGTGTATCCCTTGTGCTTGGCAGGGGACAGACGTCTCAGCAAACAGGAACTTGGGGATGTAGGTGGGTAATGTCAGAAAGCATTCTGAGCAGGTAGAGTGATGGCGAAGTGTGGTGGTGCAGCTACAAAATCAATCTCTGCCCTGCTCAGTTCAGAAAATAAAAAATTACTGGCAAAAGTGGTCTTTTTGTTTGTTTTTTTAAACTTATATCATGAACTGTATAGTCTAATCTGGAAAGGGATGGCTAGAAAAAGTCTGGGCCCACAGGCACCCACCAAATAAGAGAGCCAGTAAACACTAAATTGAGTATTTATTTAAATGACGTTAATTACAGTCTTGCCTCGTGCGTGTCCTCTTTCCACCTTCAGAAAGGCTTCTGGAACTTTAGAAAAAGGAAAGGTTTTTTCAATAACTGGTTGAATCTGTAAAACACAATAAGAGGTTGACTGGTGGATAAGAAAACCAACATCCATCAAGACAGGTGGTGTCTGTAATTAGTTTCTTCACTTAGACCAGGAGTGGGGAACCTTTCTCTGTCAAGGGCCATTTGGGTATTTATAACATCATTCACAGGCCATACAAATTATCAACTTTAAAACTGGCTATGAAAAAAGCTCCTAGATTTATTGGGTTTTGGGTCCCGCCTGCGGTTGCCTTGGCAGGGCCAGACCAAATGATTTTGGGGTTATATATGGCCCACGGGCCAGACGTTCCCCACCCCTCAGACCCAGGCTCTCTCAGATCTGTCCTGTGCGTCTGGCTTAGGAGCTCTCTGCCAGGCTGTGACTGCGGTGACTGCTGCCCCTGCTCCTGTCTGCTCCTCTCTATAAGGTGGCCCAGCTCCACCATCGCTCAGTCTAACTTCTGCTTTATGGTGGTCATGTCACTCTCCTAGTCAAAAATCTTCAACAGCTCCCAAATCCACATTCAGAGGCCACCACCCTCCCAACCTCAGCCCTCATATGCAGTCTCCACGCTTCACCAACATGGTCTGCTTGTCACTATCTTGACGTGGTGTGTTTGTGCCTCTCTTCTGTGTGTTCTACCACCCTCCCTGCCCAGGTCTTATACCACCCTTCCTGACCTCTCAGTTGGCAGAGTTCTCTCTGAACTGCTACAGGACCCATGTGGCCCTCTTCATGGACTGCTTGTTACATCTGAGTACACGTCTCACCTACCCTGTTGTGTATGGTAAATACCAAAGAGGGAATCCCAAGAGTCTTGCTGTATGTATCCCTGTGGCCCCTTCAAAGGCAGTGCACTGAATGAGGACAGATTTTATTTTAATTTGTTAACTGTTTGGCATATCTACTTGACCAGAACTTAGAGTACCTGTGGTATAGGCCACCTCTTCTGTATCGTCCACAACACCCAGAACAATGCTAGGCATGTGGCAGGAGCTTAATAAATATCACTTATAATCAATGACCAAGGAGGCAAGAATATACAATGGGGTAAAGACAATCTCTTCAATAAATGGTATTGGGAAAACTGGACAGATAATACAAAAAAATGAAACTACACCATCTTTTTACACCATATACAAGAATAAATTCAAAATGGATTAAAGATTTAAATGTAAGACCAGAAACCATAAAACTCCTAGAAAAAAACATAAGCAATAAACTGTTTCACATCACTCTTAGCAATATTTTTTTGGATACATTTCCTTGGGTAAGGGAAGCAAAAGAAAAAAATAAGCACATGGGCTTACACCAAACTAAAAGGATTTTGCACAGCAAAAAACCCCCAACAAAACAAAAAGACAACCTACTGAATGTGAGAAGGTATTCACCAATGATACATCTGATAAGGGGTTAATATCCAAAATATATAAGGGAACTCATACAACTTAATACCAAAAAAACACACCAAACACTCCGATTAAAAAATGGGTAGATGACCCCAAAACAAATTTCTCCAAAGAGGACATAAAGATGGCCAACAGACATATGAAAACATGCTTGATGTCACTAATCACCAGAGAAATGGGAATTAAAACCAGTGAGATATCACCTCACACTTTTCAGAATGGCTATCATCAATAAATCAAAAAACAACAAGTGTTGGTAAGGAATAAAGGGAACCCCAGTGCACTCTTGGTGGGAATGCAGATTGGTGCAGCCATTGTAGAAAGCAGTATGGAGTTTCCTCAAAAAATTAAAAATAGAACTACCATATGACCCAGCAATTCTACTTCTGGGTATTTAGCTGAAGAAAACCGGAATACTAATATGAGAAGATATGTACCCCTATGTTCATTGCAGCATTATTTACAAGATACGGAAGCAACCTAAGTATTCATCAATAGACGACTGGCTAAAGAAGATATGGTACATCTATACAACGGGATATTATACAACCATTAAAAAGAATGAAATCTTGCCATTTGTGATAACATGGACGGTTATTGAGGGATTATGCTAAGTTAAATAAATCAGAGACAAATACCATACGATTTCACTTACGTGTAGAATCTAAAAACAAATGAACAAATGAAACATTAACAAACTCATAGATACGAGAACAAAACTGATGGTCACCAGATGGGAGAGGAGCTGGGAAGCTGGGTGAAAAGGAGAAGGGATTAAGATGTACAAATTGCCAGTTATAAAAAAAGTCACAAGGATGTAAAGTACAGCACAGTTAATATAGTCAATAATAACTATGTGTAGTAACTATGTATGATGTCAGATGGGTACTGGAAATATCAGGGTGATCACTTTATAAGTTATATAAATTTCTAATCACTATGTTGTATACCTGAGGCTAATATAATATTGTATGTCAACTATAATTGAAAAATAAAAAATATTTTTAAAATATTTTTTAAAAGAATACAGAAAAATAAATTTTGCTAAACAGCGAAACAGCTGGTCAGAATTTATAGGAAAGCCACACCAGCCAGTTCGTAAATGCCTGGATACTTTTACCATACTGTTCATTAGTACTGCCAAACACCTTCTGAAACTAGGTCCCAGTTAGCACCCTCTCCCCATGCTGAATTCTTCCCTTTCAAAGCTTTAAGCAAAATCAGTAATTGACACCTCCAGTAGCTCCACAGGCAGGGCTAAGTTGTCAAAAGGCATAAGCCAATGTGTGTTTTCTGACACTTCCTTTTACAAGGAAAGAAGAGTTCTGTAGTATTCAGATGCACCTGATGTACTATGTTTATTTCACAGCTCAGCCACCAGAAGAGTATCTCAGACTCCAAATGTTCCCTTCTCCAAAGAGTTGAAAATTCTTTTGTACCCACAAATCACAATAAGCTCGTTATAAAATTAACAGCTGACACGTGTTGTCTTCACTGTGACAGGTGCTCTTCTAAGTGCTCTATATCGTTTACCTCATTTAATCCCTATAACCACCTTATGAGGTAGGTACTATTCCCATTTTACAGATGAAAAAATTAAGGCACAGAGTTAAGTAGGTTGCCCATCACATAGCTGCCAAGTGATAAGGCAGAATTCAATCTGCTACCAGAGTCGATGCTCTCACTATTACTCACTGAGCCTTTCATACATCATTAGCTGCTTTTTACATCTCCTCCTACAATCTTAAGGCTGGGAAAGGTAGTCAAGGATTATAACAATTTACTACAGCCTGCATCTTGGCTGGCCTGTCTTGTGCTAAGAAACCATACCAGCTGAGGACCTGGTCCCTAAGCCCTGTGTCCAGGCCACCAAGAGGGCAGATGTGCGGTACATATGCCACTCCTCCTATCTGTACCTATGGAGGACATCCCGGATTAGTAATTATGGTCCTCCCAGCAAAAAGATCTCAGAGTCTTCCTCAACACTGCAGCCACTAGGAACAGACCTGAACCGGCTTGTTAGATGAAACCTATTTGCCTTCTCTGATAAAGAATGGACTGCATTAACCTTGTGTCCTGCATGTCCCACATGAAACCTCCCGAACCTCCCACTCCCTTTTTTAAAAAAAGATTTTTAAATTGATTTTTGGAGAGAGAAGAGGGAGAGGGAGAGGGAGAGAGAGAGAGACATCGATGTGAGAGAGAAACATCAATCAGCTGCCTCCTGCATGCCCTCCACTGGAGATCAAGCCCACAACCCAGCCATGTGCCCGACAGGGATTGAACCGGCAACCTGTTGGTGCATGGGATGATGCCCAACCAACTGATCCACACCAGCCAGGGCCCAGCACGCTCTTTAAAGCTCCTGGGACATTGTTTTCTGGATGCTGATTACCTGAAAAGGAATCACCTGAATGCGTGCTTATTTAGTTATTTTACTCCTCATCCGAGGATATATTTTTTCATTGCTTTACAGAGAGAGAGGGGGGCGGGGGGAGAGAGAGAGAGCGGGGAAACATCCATGTGTACACACTGATTGGTTGCCTCCGGCACGTGCCCCAACCAGGCCAAACCTGCAACCAAGGTGCGTGCTCTTCGCCAAAATTGAACCCAAGACCCTTCAGTCCGCAGGCCGATGCTCTAAGCACTGAGCCACGCCAGCTAGGGCAATGAATGCATACTTAAAATGCAGAGAGTCCTTGGCCTCCTGTTAGAACTAAATCAGAATCTCTAGGGATGAGGTGGAGACAATACATTTTAAATAAGCTTCCCAGGTGAGTTTTCTGCCCACTAGTGTGGGAATCACTGCATCCTTTTGCTCTATCCTTAGGGTCCCTGACTCATATCATACACATATTTATTCATTCCACAAAGATTGACTGTGCCCATTCTAAGTGCTAGGCACTAATCCAAAGTAGGTACACAAAACAGGCACCTGAGAGAGAAATCAAGAAACAAAGGAGGCAATAATATCAACTTGTCATTGAGCACTGGACACCAGTCACAAAACCAATGCAGCTGTAGTGGTACCAGAGGTCACAAAGGAAGCCTGACTCCACCTGTTCCATCCAGCATGAACTGCCTTGGCTCATCCAGCTCTGCTCACTTTAGACTCTGACGGGAGACCTGGGTTGGAACTGATGACACAGCAGCCTGCAGTGACTACACACTTCAATTAGGCTGGTCAGGCCTATTGTGGTGAATAACCCCAGAAGGCTGACTGTGGCATAATGAGTCTTTCAGCTCTTCCCACAAGTGACAATGAAAAAAGGGCTCTCGATTAACAGGCAGGCAAATGCCAATGTTGGCTGAATACGTGATAGCAAACGGAGATTACCTGGATAATGAGGCAGTGTCTACGCAC